TTCGAGAACCCATATGATGTGTATGGCCTGTTTCACCAAAGCGGGAGAGGTTGATTTGTTGCTTCACTTCGACATGTTCACGTTGTATTAGAACGGTTTCTTTTCTTTTCTTTTTTTTTCCTTCGCCCCCAATTCTCTCGTCTTACAGATCTCTTCCCTCTGGCGCACAAAGCATCTTATTCGCATTCTCCATGGTTTTGGACCGGCATGGAAATGGATTTTTGTTTCGTTAACTCTCTGTACATATAACGGACTCCTGGGTTTGTGGTTCTTGCGGGCGAAACTGTTGCAGGTTTCATTTTCGTCATCTCAAGCAACCTTAATGTTAGTTCACACAATAAAAAGCATGGGACTAATAGCGACTTCAGATCAGGTTCTGCGCTTACGAGTTCAAGTTGGAAGTAGGATTGTCTTTTTGGGGAGTCGCACAGCAGTGACAGTCGCTACGCTCTAGGGTCTTATGAGGTGCAAACCGAGCATTGCATTGGTACGGTGGGGATAACTACCGGACTGCGGCATATCCGAGCTCGTCCTGTCGACGGATGCCTCAGGCTACACGACGGAAAGCGGGCGTGGGAACCAACAGCCTCAAATTAATGTGTGCTTCAAACCACCGTCGCCTGTGACACGCTACCGTCATTGTCACGGCTTCTAAGAACTCGGAGAATAGAGCAGAATCTTGACATGCCTTCACTCTGCGCATACCAGAGTGGATTCCATCGCCGAGACTATTCAAGAGACGATATCTACACCAATTGCACGTCATCTTGGGACTCAAAACGGAGAGATTTATGGCTTGTGCTGGTAATTCTTCGTATCCCAAACTGCGGCCCTTCGTCACTTGGACATTGTGGCTTAAAGTCTGGTGATGAAAGCGAGGTTGAGCTTCTAATTGTTTACGATACCTCGACCACTGTAGCCCTTCTATGCTTTGATACATCCTTCTGTGATCCGCACCACCCTTAGACCTTTGGCCGCTGAACTATCTATTAGAGCTGTTGTAGTCCTACCTATGACCTCTTGAAAGATGAAGTAAAAATATAATAACATGAGTATATATCAACACTACCTTCGATATGCTTCTCAAGCTAGCGTTGCTGATATGTATCCTTGCATCTCGAAATAGCTTCTTGCTCCCACAAGAAAGATACCTAACATTACTATCAGTATAGGACTGATTCCGAATGCTTCTGCTCAGAGCGCTTCTATAGATGAAGACATCTTGTTATCAACACTATATTGTTATCAAGTTGAAAGGTTGTTATGTAGCGACGCCGTATCACTTCTAGACGGCCGACTTGAATAACAACTTCGTGTATTTCAAAAGTGACTGTTGTCAACCTCGAGTCCAAGCCGCCGAAGTCTTTTATATCAAGGCCAGATGTACAGACCTTGAAGAAACGTGCCTCTTTCAAGTCACAACTCAGCCTACGCAAGCATAGCCTTATTTAGTTTGTTGAGAGCGATATGACCTGCCCAGATGTTAGAGGCTAAGAGATGAGAAGAAAACTGTCAGAGAAAGAAGATGGGCTTGGGCTGGATATTTGAGGACGTGTGGATAGGAGACAAGGGTAAGTAAAGAAGAACAGAGGGTTATAGTGTCGAGGTGGAGGCATGCGAAATGGACACGCCACTGAGCCTCGGCAGTTCATTCACACAGGTTATATATTTAACCCAATACAAAAGTTTCCCTTTTTGACTCCATGACTTGCACTCGCTGGACGTATAGCTGCTAGACCAGAATTCACAATACTAGACAGCATCTAGAAGTATGATTCACCATGTAGGATTCATCCATGCTAGTGGATAGATGAAACCAAATCGTTCTGACTTTTCATCGGCTGCGCAGACTTGCTTTTGGGTGAATGCGACTCTCGGGTGGAACCTCCCTTCCTTGTGCCTATATCCGGATTCGATTGAGAACATCGAAGCAAAAGTCTCCAGCGCTGAATTAGAGTAGTCTCCAAAGTATAGGCCTCATGTTCATAATACCCATGAAGTACTAGTAAGGCGAGCTATACTATGCGTGCCGCACGGTGGCGTTTGCTAGCCGCGGAAGCGTCCGTTCGGCTGTCCCGGTCGTCAGTAGTAAAGCTGGCAACATCGCTCCAGAACAGAAGCAAATGAACACAGACATAGTCTGTCCGATGCGATTGCAAATAATTCAGCTCGATTTAGCAGGAGCTTGACATTCTGTAAATAGGGAACGGTAGGTCCTGTACAGCGTGTACCTGGTTCGATCTGATAATCCAAGGCTTGGCATGGGGGCTTGAGAGGAGTTACTCTTTTGGGAAACTCCACAGGCTGCCCCCGGAAGCCGAAGTCAGTGTCAGGGTCCACGATGGCTGTGTTTCGGCCTGTTTTCTCCGCAGCTCGTATCAACAGGCAGCAATTGGCGCTTCCGTTACAGACTTGGTTGAAGGAATCACCAATTGCTTCTTCTGGTGATCAATTCGAGGTATGTCTTAGCCAAGCCTCCAGTGAAAACTCTATGCCAAGCTGTTGTGTGCCACTTGTGCCTATTTCTGGTATGGTGGATAAATATCTGATACGAAGAGTCAGTCCAGTTCCTCCCTGGAAATTGCACTCAACGGCCCTCAAAGAACAGGCATCTGGTTTGTTTGGACATGGCGAAGGTCCATTCTCAAGAAGAATAGGGTTGCCTGAATCAGTAAGGCCATGGACGGGCTTTCAAGCCATAACGAACTGCGGGCGCCTGGCTGTGTGGTGACAGTTACATCATGATCCGATGGACATCGACGCCTCATTACTGAATGTGCAAGCCATATGGAGGTAGATGTTTCAGCCTGCCATTGCCTTCTTCTAGAGACTCTAAACTTCTCAATCGATCAATATCAACCAAGGCTGTCAGTGCAACGTGCATTTGTCCAGCGTTGGTCGATCGCCAGCATTCAAGATGCCCTAAGTGGGCCGCCCGTGGCCGTGGAGCCTGTGAGGCTATGAGGCCACTACTCCGCACCTTGGACCCTGATCCATCCTCGCCATACTCCTGGTGCGGTGCCGGATGGTGCATGGCCCCGTCCCAATCCTTCATTTGCTGGGCCATGAACTGGAAACCCCTGTTATAAGACCAGCCATGGCAGTCGCTCGAAGGGGTTCCCCATCTCACCACGATGGGTCTTATCAGACTTACAAGTTTGCTCTTCACATATGTGTCTTCGCGCCGATTGACGTTCCTCGCCTTAGTCATTGCGGTCTGGCTCCTTTGTTCTCGCCTTCCTGGTCTTGACCTTTATGCGAACCAGCAGGTGGTCAGGGATCACGGTCGAGGCGAAAATGGGGGTCGATTCCTCTATACTTCCCCCTTTCGACGCAATCCGGACCTGGAGTATGAGAGACAGCTCGCCAACGCTCTGCAGGAGCTAGAACACTCGGTGCTAGATCAGCAGGGAGGAAGCATTGTGGCGGAAGACAGGATATGGCAGATAGCCAAGGACGAAAGCCAACGAGGACCGGATTCGGCTTATCTTCAGGAGAGAAACCCTGGCTGGGGGTACACTGTAAGTACCTCGTCAAGCCTCACGTTCATATGGATCTTATCCAGCTAAAGTTATGCTTCTCAGTTGATGAGCGACGCGAAGGCATCCAAATTTGTCGCCGAAAAGTTCTCCGCTGTCCCCGAAATTGCCCAGATCTACGAGTCGTATCCCTATCACGTCCTCCGAGCCGACCTTCTCCGCTACCTTCTCCTCTATTATTACGGGGGCTTCTATGCCGACATGGACATCTACCCAGCGCGACCCATAAACGAATGTCCAGCTCTACAATCGATACCCAAACCTTCAATGGATGCCTCAATAAACTCAGCCAACGTGTCGCTTGTGGTAGGAGTTGAACTGGACGAGCCCTATGCCTCCCCGCAAACCATGCGCTATTGGCGCTGGACTCGAAGCTACGGACTGATCCAGTATACGATGTACGCCCCGCGCCGATTCAGCCCTCTGCTCCGAGAGATCATCGTTCGATGCTTGTCGCACACCCGGCAATACTACCGTCAGCACAGTGGATTTCTCAACAGATTCAGCTATGACAAGAACGCCATTCTGGGGATCACGGGCCCGGATGTTCTTACAGACGCGATCCTCGACGCCCTCTCCGCATCGCTCCCCGGCTCCCATCCGTTTGTCCAGAAGTCTGTGGGCATGGATCAGAAAACCGGCGATTTGGTAGCTCCTGCTGGCAAGATGGAGAGAAGAGTTACTTGGGCGCCCTTCCATGATCTTCACGAGCCTCTGTGCGTTGATGCCAGCGAGGCCGTCCCCGAGACGCCTATGGGAGGGCTTTGCGTGATGCCGATCAGTGTGTGGGGGAACGGGCAGCGACACAGCAAGGCTGAGGGTTTCAACAGTCCACATGCTTGTCTGAACCATCGGTTCGGAGGGTCTTGGAAGAAGGGTTGGCGCGAACGGTTGTTCGGATGATAGAACGACCCAAACACAGGCTTGATCCAACAGCGCCTATGATGAAAATGTATTAAGAATCAACAATGAACAAAATCTCCCTGTGTATTCAACAACTTGAGCAGCGTGCAATTGACATAATTCGCATCATGCTAGCCACAAGCCCACAGGCCCTTTATTTTTTGTACTTAAGCCAGCGATGTGTTTACCCGCAGACAACTGCTCCTACATGGTCAATTCCTTGAACCTAGATCCAGCAAGACCATTGTAGATGAGGACTTTCATGTGCTCGGGATTATTCACTGGGGAGGGAACTGGGGACCGCACCCAGGCGGCTGTCGAGCCTCGGTGTTTATGACCGCGTTGCCGGCTGCTATGACGGGGCGGAGGGCAGCAGGTTGGTGGAGCGGATCTGTGTATCCAATACGCACAGCCTATTGGAGCATGCATGACCACAAGCTCGGTGGCTATGGAAGCTTCTGTGAAAGTTACCCATCGGACCACATCGCGGCTGAATGATGACGATGCCGCATCCGCGTTGCGATGCTTGTTCAATCTGGCGAGTCTCTCGGTGTATAGCTACGACCGACACCACTTGACAAAGATCGTAAAGGCCAACCCAACAGTCAATCCGACAAGAGCTCCCTCCAGAAACCCTCTGTTTGCGATACTACTTGCTTGCGGAGACTATAACGATCAGTCCTCTCGTCACATTAGAAAAGGGTAGACGGCGTACCTGTGGCGCATGGCCACTCTCAAGGGCCGGCTCGAGAGGTAGCTCTGGCTCATATTCCACCTCATCATCCCTCCCAAGCTCCTTGTAGTATTCCTGAAGCTGCCGGATTTTCTCGCGCACGAACTCCTCCCGTGGTTCGTGCATCTCTGGCGATGTGGTTACATCATGGACCCGGTGTGCGATGCTTGATCTCGGGCCCCAGCAATATTCATCGAGTAGATCCCAATATATGAGATCAACAGAGGCTCCCATGTGCAATGCCAACGTGAACCACGAGGATCTGTCTTCGATCGACCGGCGCATTCGACTTGACAGGCGGTCTTCTGATTCAATCAAGCCCTGAGTCCGTTCTCGCTCTTCCAGTGCTTCCAAGAATATGTTCGCTTTCGGGAGAAAGGATTCCAAAAAGGCATCGGGCCCGTCTTCGTTGACTAGCGAATGAGGCCGGCGCAAGAGTAACCACCACGGAATGCTGGCTGCGAATTGAGAAGGCGCCGCGTAGGTGAATTCCCAGTCCAAGACGCCCACAATCCGCAGTGAGTCGTCTACAAGAACATTGCCAGGACATAGATCATCGCAAAACAGCTTGAAGGAGCCGCAGTCGTCCTTGGGGGTGAAGTTCAGAGCGATAGCCTTCATCAACTGTCGGCAGGCATATTTCTCCCTGCAGTCTTGGGAGTCGTACACACTATTGCGCTGTTGTTCGAGGTGAGTTGACTGCAGTTCCAAGAGTGATGCGATGTAGTCGATAGATGTATGGAAGGTTCTTTGTGGTGTGCAGTCTTTTAATCCACTTGTCCGCATCAACTCGTTCAGCTCCCGAGTCAGGGGTCGCCCATCAACAATCGTCTTCCCCAGGTGGTCTTCACTGATGCTGCCGATCTTACTGAAGTCGAGTCCCCAGAGCTGCAGCAGTACCTCTGCCATTTCTCCATACAGGATCTTGAGCGTCTCTGGGTCGATAGCGGGATCCAGAACGTCATGCTTGTCAGAGAGATCGTCTTGTCTTAGTATGTCCGACATCTTCTTGCCGTCGATCCAGGTCATTATAATAAAAGGACCCAGGCCAGTTGGATTCTCGTCACTCGTGCCATGAACGATGACGCGCGGCACAGGAACCGTGGTCTCCCTCGCGATGTATTTCATCACGAACGTCTCCCTACGAACCTTCTCGTCCAGAAACATGGATTTGCCAGGGAGTGGGAATCGAATCAACCAGTCCTCGCCATTATCGTCCCAGTTGAGTCGGAAGCTGAAGTTGAAAGACCCGCAATGCATGGAACGTAGCATACAGTCATCCCGTTGTCGATAGCGATTCGCGAGTTCGCAGATTCCGGCCCCTGATTTGGAAGCCAGTTGGATCCATTCATGTCTTCGATCGTCGAGAGCGGCGAGTTTGATATCGTCGAAGTCCATGATGTCTCAGTCAAGCTTGACCACGACGAGAATTCAAGAAGTTTCCAATAGGGGTAGTCGCGTCCAATTGGCAGGAGGCTCCTTGCCCCGGATTTTGACATATCCCGGGCCGGGCCTTGCATTCGTCACCTGATCCCTCAGGGTTCCCCTCATCTTCAGCACACGTGCACTTATAGTCTCTCTATGTTGAAGTGGACAAAGCAGTCTTGATTTCAGCATGTACATGATCAGATCTCATTATGAGCTCAAGATACGTGGTTGCCTTGAATATGCCTTCAATGTTACGTCTCGGATCGGCAACATCCTGTCACTGGGCTCGGTAACGGTACAGTACAGTACAGGCCTAGAAGTGCTCCTGCAATCGAGCCCCGGGCCCATAGGAATCATCCTTGTGTTCCTTCACTTGCTTTTCTTCGCCTCTCGGCTTCTGCTCTCTTACGCTCACGCTCTTGCTGCGATGAACGTCCAACCGCTGATAGCATAGTCATGGTGGCTTGATCCGTCAACGCGTCAGTCAAGGCCGCGCGATCCTCAGGTCTAATAATTTTTGGTCTGCTGTCGACCCCTTCGAGACTCCGTAGTGTTGCCCCATGCTCTGTCTGTTCGTCGTTCTGTGGATTGGAGGTCATTGTGGTAAGGTATCAATGAAAGCTGCTCGATGTTTTAATCTGCCTTCACACCACAGTGTGGAAATGCTCGCTTTCACGAGTCAATTTGGGATGGTTCGAGAGGTGAGAAGTGATTTGACTGAGGGAGAGGTGGAGAACTTGGCGCCTCTGTTGTCCGATGGTTTTGGAGAGTAGGAGGGGACAGGAATTGCGAGTCGCCTCTGGGTATTTATCATGCAGCTACCCCACTTTGGACATGGAATATAACCTCCAGGCTGGGCTCCGCCATGCCGCCCTGCAACCAAGATTGGTTGATGTGTTGTAAGTGATGCGCCTCTTATAAAGGTAGCATGCAAGTGCACTGCGGCAACTGACTCAGCCTCGATGTATACTTGAGCCATCCCAACACTGGGACTTCGAGCAGAGTGTCCAAGTCTCCCTGTCACCTGCATGGAGGCCTCTACATTTGCTATATCGACTACTATTTCTCTTCATGCGAGAACATGAGTCCTCAAAAGGTGGTGGTAGATGCGTAGACAACGAACCATTCATGGTATGCCATTACCGGCTCGCCGATATTCTTGAACCTCCTGGTTCCACCGCAGGATACGCTCAACAGAGACCCCACGGTGTCTAGGCTCCTCAACTGGCTCATCGCCTCGATCATCGAACTGGTCAATAATCCATGGATGCATCTGAAGTCGACGAACGCTTTCGATGTTCGCTTTACCATCATCGAGCCAAATGCCGTCGTCGTAGCCTCTATGCCAGTTAAATAAGCGCGACGTTGCAAACCCCGATTGCTCATCAGCAGTATACCGTTCAGGATGAGGCGTGCTTAATGGTCAGTAGAATATCAATAGTAGTTGATCAGTCGTTGCACTCACTCATTGCTTTGACCCGCAGGACAAGGATGACAGAGACCGTCAGCCTTCACAACCTCAAGGTCATGCTGCGAGCCTGCCGGAATTCTTTCTCCCGAGTCTAATAACCAATAGTTTCTCCAAGAAAGAGGCACGTGCATGTGTTCAAGGTGCGCCCTTACTTCCAGGCTGAGATTATGAACCGGCGTTGTACCGAAGGGAGGTGCGGGCGACCATGGCACGAACAAATCTGGCCGGCAGAAGTAGGAAGTCCGAAACTCATTCGCTCTGGCTATAATGGATTCTTCTGAGTCACGTACACTGTACGCTATCTGAAGGAAGGATTGGATTGTATTGGTCCAGAAGGCGGCAACTAGACATATAGGCGGGAGACTGTGAAGACTCAAATTCAGGAACGAGGTTGCCTGGCCGTTGCACACTGCAGCAGCCCATAGAAGACTCAATTGAGGTTTCTTGTTGGTGATTGCAGAGAGTAACTGTCGATTATCGATTTTCTCCATTGTGGAGAGAGCTTTGCTCACTCCCAATGATGCGGCTCCAAATAAATTACATGGAACACATGGATCGAAAAAGGCGCTGCAGAGCAATGAATCCAGAGCATCCTGTGTTGAGCTTAGAGAGATACATTTGTCGACAGATTTAAACAATTCAAAGAGCATCATATCTTTCGCACTTAGCGGAGAGTGCATAGGGACTGCCGGGATCATTGTAGGAGGAGCGAGTTTAGGTGGAGGCGCGTGTCGTGAGGTTGAGATTAAAACACAAGCAAACCCGATGAGAAACTCTCCTTCCAGGCCATTTGATGCGCAGAAGTCCAGAAGAGTGCTGAATGCGAAGAAAGAATTTGGTATAGCGAGTTTCCAATCACGTCTAGAAGGCTTATTAGAGCCGATGAAAGCCACGATTTACACGGTGAACATACCGCTTGCGTGAGGTCCCTTCTCTTCTAAACATCCACGGCGAATAGAAAGCGCCTTTCTGATTCTCAACTCGAGCCTTCCAGGAGTCCTGCGTGACGATGTCCCGAAAGGATTCTTCGATCTGCATGCCTTGATCATGCAGGATTTGGCTTTTCTCGCCTGCCCGTTGTAATATCTCCACCCAACGGCAGGAGATGATGTATGACCAGGCCAGCACAATGCTTGTAAGGAATCCAGAGCGAAGAGGCCTGGCACAAGTAGGAATAGATACTTCTGCTTGGGTCTCAGCTTCCGTCCTGTAAAATACAGGTGCGGGGCTTCCGAAGCACTGGAGATAATCCATGAACTTGTGATCTTGCTCGCAGTTCGAGTCTTCTGTCGTTCCCACTTGCAGAGAAGACTTCAGAACAAGGAAAGATTTTGCTCTTCCTGACAGTTGGACAGCCCCTGGGGGACAGGCATAGAACGAAGGGACATCTTTGAGGAGGTTTAAGAAAGCTGTTATGTAGTAATGGAGAGACTCTGTGCCTTCTAGGCGTGTAGATGCGGCGTTCTGCCAGTCGTCGATCTTTGACTGGCAGCAATGGTTGAAATGTGCTGCTGTCGGGCAGACCCCGTCACCTGGGGACCAAGTCACGTCGCTGTCATTACTTGATTCATCACTGTCATCGAATGGATTTGCGCTTAGAATATTCCTTTGCTGGTTTGAATTGCTAGCAGCCAGTCCAAGTCCCGAGTCGCCGGTTTCCATCATAACAGCGGAGGTCTAAGTGCCATTGAGGGATCTGTCCTCGAAGGGTGGATAGGTGAAGGGATGACTTGAACCGCCGGAGGAAACATGGGTTACCACGGCGGGACAGGCGGTGAAAGAGAGAGGTTCAAGCTAATGGGTGAGATACAATGTCTACAGACTTACTTCGTCTTGGATGACTTACCCAGCACTTATAATTCGTTTATGAATTGATAAAGCATAGGTCAGAATCCGACCGAGTTCGTGGTTAAGATTAAATTCCATAGACGGATATAATATCCGCCGGGAGGGAGATTGTACTCGACCTACTACACGATTTATCGCCAACTAACAGTACATTAGGTACACACTTTAGGAGGCCGAAATCAGCGCCCTCCCTCCGAGACATTTACAGCAAATAATCTCCCGAAGCGCTCGATTGTTTCTACGTTTGATGGAGGGGAAGGAGATCATTGCTTAACGCACGGTCCAAGATGACTCTAGACATCTCCAAACCATTTCTGACGGAGTCGTTCCATAGCCAGTTCTTCAGGCATTGCCTCCAGAAATTTGTCAATCTCATGGACCCAGAAGGAGTTCTGGGGGTTGACCTGGTAGGCAGAAGTGTATTCCCAATATGACGGATACCAACCAGCAGTCTCCCAGTCAATGATGCCGACGATATCGTCTTCGCGACCAAGAATATTAAGGCTGCTGAGGTCACCATGAGTAAAGGCCAACGGCCAAGATTTGCTTTGCTGTTGTTTGATAAGTTTCTGGGCATCAATGTGAAGTTTAGGATCAAACTCCAATCCCATGCGTAGATGACGATGAAAGTCCTGAATTGTGGCAAAGGGCCCGAAATCCAAAGAAGGGCCTGGTATCCGGCAGTCATGTAACGATCCACCATCAACTGAAGCAACCCCCATGCTTTCGGGGGGCCGGAGATCCCGCATCTCGCGGATCATTCTTGCTAGAGCTGAGAGAAGCTTGGCTTTTGATTCCTCACTTCGTCTTACCCAGCCGTTGCCAATGATATCTCCTTTGATCCTTTCCATCACAATGTACGTCACCCCAGAACGTTTGAAAGCGCAGAAGATCTTTGGAACCGGGATGGATGTATTTTGCGAGATGAATCGCATGGTTGATGCTTCAGCCAACCGCACGCGGCGACCGTACTTGACACATATACTATCTGTCAACATGAGAACATTTCCCTCTCGAGGTCTAAAGCACTTGAAGGTTTTGATCGCCAAAAGTGTCAAACACCGGTAGAATTTGCTGTCATTGACTGTGTTGGATGCGCCCAACGGAGCGGCATATGGCGAAGAGGGAGACCCCTTTTGACTAGAGGACATCATGAGTGCATCCGGGAAGTCTTGCAGTACGTGATCTGCAAAAAGTTCCGACTGTGGAGTATAGGGATCTGAGAAGGCCTAGTTGTGTCTGAAACATATACAGCACTGGTTAAAGCCAGAGTCTTCCATGCCATGGAAAAGTAACCGCGCGTACCTACTGTGTGTTCGGCTCCGATGTTGTGTTATGGATGGGCAGGACCCTGATCGGGATTACGCCTCCTGGGAGCCTTGATGTTGTGAGGCTCGACCCCTTACACGTGGTTTTACCAGACCACTGGCTTATTCTCGGGCGGCCGGGACGGAGTACGCAACATCCGATCTTGTCCCGCAGATTGTATCCTCTAATGTAGTTGATCATCGTCGTGATACTAAGGATACAAAATCACTTTATCTCCTAGGGTTATCTGTTTCTTAAAGCACTAGAATTAGTAGGGCTCATTCGCCCCACCTTGCAGCACAAGCGGGAGACAGCAGAGCACTCCCCCTTGGGCGTGGCTCGAGTAGGTCCAGAAGGTCTGTGCCTAGATTGGGGGTCAATCGCTGCTATCAGAGAAGTCACACAAAAGTTCAATGTATCTGATCTCCCAGTAAGCCGCGTTCAAGGAGACCTATTTTGCTTACGTCCTCGGCCCTTGTTTGCCTGCGAACAATGGCCGTATACTGTAACTTAGTTGCGGTCTACAAATGACCTCTAGTACTACTTGGTGCATATAGGTTAGATCAGCCCACTGTATTCGTGGTTCAAGCCAGTGATCGCTCTCCAGGCGACGTGAAAACGACGATGGTGTGTCAAGAATGGAACTTGAATTGAAGCCTCATTCATCGCAGTCATTGGCTCGTCTCCTAGATGCCGTGTTCATGGCTTCAAGTTCCTCTTTGTCCGGACATCATGAGGGCCCAATTGCGCACGAGCAGGAAACTATGAAAATCATCATGCGTATCTTTTCACATGCAAAATGTGAGTATTTGTGCGATTATCTCAAGTTCGAGAGAGGGGGATGTTAATCTACCATTCTCAAATTCTGGAATTCCAATTCTCAATTGACCTCTTGTGGCTGCAATGATTAATTGCTCGCACAACCTCTTATAGGAACGAATTGTACAATACAACAGCACAAAAGACAATGCCATCATTCTCAATCTGCCTGATCTCTTCCACCACACCCTCATCACCAAATCAACCTCTCCTCCATCTCCAAAAAATATACCACCCATCTACCCAAGCCACTCCCCCCTTACAACAATCCACCCCCAACAACCCCAGCAACCAACAGCGCAATCACGCCCACGGCCTTCTTACTCACACCAACAGCCACACTCCCCCCACTAGTCGAGCTGCTCGACGCACTCGACCCCGTCGCGGTCCCGGAGCTCTTGCCCTTCTTGGTGGAAGACGACGTCGCCGACGCCGTCGCCACGATGGTGCCGGCCCCGGTGGCCGGGACGGTGCCCGTGGCGGTCGCATTGGCGCCGGTGTTGCACCAGACCTCGCCGGCCTCGGAGGCCTTGATGAGGCACTCGGCCAGGGTGTGGACGGTCTGGCCCTGGGCGAGACAGTAGTAGTCGCAGCTGCTGTAGGAGACGACGTCGGCGGCGCCGCAGCAGCTGCTCATGATGGCGGAGTTGTTGCCGGTGCTGGGCATGGCGCAGGCGGCATCCTTGATGGGGATTTCGTAGAGCTGCTGGTGGCAGGTTGAGGTGGCGGAGGCCGCGGTCGTGGTGGCGGTGGTTGTGAGGGACATTTTTCTCGAATGAAAGAATGGGGGTCTCGATTGTTGTCTTGTGGAATGATGATTGGACTCTAAGGTAGGTAGGTATAGAATGAACGAGCGTGTGAATTGAATGAATCAGTTGGTTGAACGATTGTGGAGTGGTCTGGTCAGGGTTATTCAGGCTTGTGCAGGGTACTTATAAGGGAGAGAGGGCTCTGTGCAGCTGCCTGGATTCCAGACCAGGGACTGCTGGAGAATCCTTAGCCATGGATTGATGGCTAAGCGGAAGATTACTGGCAGGGAGGGGGCTGACCGCTACGACTGTCCCCCTGATGGACACACATGCCTGCCTACACTCCACTGGGAGACCCGCTGCCTGGTCCCTTGGACCAGTGGCCGCCAGGGTGTATCCATTTCTGCTAATTATGGGTCGGCGATTCCAGCCGATCCCGTCTCAATGCAGTTGGCTGGTTGTTCAGTCGAGGACTATAGGTTGTCTGATGGCTGTGCCGGAGCTACTTCATGTCCTTGGGGCAACTATATCGATATTATCAGATACGCAGGTTTCAGATGACGCGTCGTTTGCTTCGATCGATGAGCATTGACAATTATCTCGTCCTTATTCAAGAGCTAGTTGAGCATGCAGCGACAGGGCATATACCTATCGGTCAGGCGTAGCCTCATTCAGGAACATGTACAAGGCTTCTGAGGCGCCAGCGTCTTGATCTACGCCGTAGGGTCTGCAGCCTGAAATTCAGGAACGGTGTCGAAGTGATCTGTCAACAAACAGGCTCTCATCGATCAACGAGAATGTGCCATTGACGCTCATGATCCGTCGGAAGACTCCGCCATGCATGGCACACTACTCCGACAGGTTACGGCCTGTTTAGCAGCAGAAGCCACCTCACAAACAGGAAGGAATAGCGAGCCGGGCTTCTTGGCATCAAAGCTTTTCTTCCTTGCCAAGATATCGAGGATATGACTTTTCCCAGATCCCCTAGTCTAGGATCTGTGGTTGTCGGGTGAGGCGACAGACCCGGACATTGCTTTCGCTTAGCATCTGCCAAGAGGTATAGCCTGGCATAGCCCGGCGTTGCCTTTGCCTTTTGGCTATTGATATCGACGGGACATAGCCACCATGGATTAAGACCTTGTCTGGCTTTAAATAGATTCGTTGATCTGTCTTTGAATAGTGGTGTGGTGTGAGAGATGAGAGCGGGTCTGGCGGGTAAGGATTGAAGACGGGGTCGATGAAAGGTCGATCCAAGGCCCAGGTGGAGAGGCCGGGTAAAGTTTATTCAGACCGATGCAGCATGGATGCATCTTTCCATGGTCCGACACTTATGGGATGGGACACCTTGGCAGCTCTAGTCACATTGTTTGTGTTAGTCGAGTTATCTGAAGTGTATCAACGTCTACCTGAGTAATTGATTGTCTAGAATAGCAATAAAATCCTGCATGGTCTCTGCTGCATTGAATAGCTGGCTTCGTTCACTCAAGCCACTTCCCTGCTACACATAACACATATGGGAGCATAAAATTTCCAATAGTAAAGGTAGGACTAAATGCCATGCACACAGCATACCATCTCGACGACAGGATACCCATTCAGCAACAAAGGCTCGGCCAGTTCTTTTCAAGAAAGATCTCTCTTGTCACACGGAGAATGTCTGTCATCGGAGCAGCTGTCAATGGCAGTCATGCGAGAGCTATGCTCCATGGAAATTCATGGGTGCTCCAGGGCAACGTATAAGGCTTGTCCGGCCATTGCATGTGTCAAAATAAGACGTCATGCAGACACGGATGACCACATGGCCATCTCACTTGAGTCAAACTATTCGAGCGCAATTTCTCCATCCAGACATGCAATGTGTGAGGCTGTCGGTCGAAGGCGGCCGGCTGGCTGGCTTGGAGTAGGTCACAACGCTAAGCATTTTCCAGTCCCACCCGCCGCGATGATCTGCAATACCCTCCCACATTCCATCCAGCACAATGGCGACAGACCTCCGAGGCACGGATAACTCGTGTTTAAACGTTAGCACTGCGAATGCGACAATCTCACCGACTATCTGAGCCAGAATCCCATCATGAAAGTGCGGTGACCAACCCCATCTGCTCCATTCTTCAGCTCGTATCGATTGGGATCGCTCCGAAGCTTAGTCCCCTCCGCACGAACGCCTCGAACCCATGTGGTTCCCCCGATTGGAACCAACATTACCCGCTAATGCTTGTCAGGACATAGTCTTGAATGATGTGAGCAAGGTGGAGAAAGTCGGAAACATGTTGCGTAGAAGGAGTCCAGCGAACTGTCCAGCTAAATACCGCTCGATGCGCATTCGGTCACCTAATTCTGTGTTGACCTGGAATCCTCCCGCCCATTCTCAACAAACATGCTCAAACATACACTCACCTCTCTGGCCCTCTTCGCGGCAGGAGCCTTCACGGCCACAACCAGTCCCGGCTACTCATGGGACATCCCTTCGACCGTCAGCGGGGACTCACTCTCGTTCGGAGAACATTACGCGGTGTTAAATCTCGATCTGATCGATATTGTGGTCTCATATGTGAACACTACTACCGCGGGAGCGAGCTGGATCAATAACACGGCGCGGTGGATTGACGCGTAAGTTGCACTTTTTCCATAGGCTATCTCGAGCACTGTGCAGCGTGTAGGCGAAGCTGACAGCCAACAGCGTTCACCAGCAGTCGCCCCCGCCATTGAGCATCTTCACCCGGATCTACTTCGCCAACACGCAGCGACCCGAAATCAACGCCAACGACCCTTTTGCAGAGGCCGTGTCCCTCCTGGGCAACATCACCGAGTCGAGCCCCGCGGGACAGATCTACCCTGCCTTCCGGCCTCGGGATAACTGGGACGTGGTGTTGCAGAAGGTGCGGTACTACGCCGGTGCAGGCAACTCGCTAGAGGAGATTCTCGCGAGCCAGAAGATCGACACGGTGATTCTGGTGAGTGGCCCCGAAAGGAAATCGATCGGAGGGGTGGACCTTCCTGTGGACCTTCCCTATTCTAGCGCTCCGGCTAGTGCTTCATTAGTGCTTGTGGTGCCGGATCGACCATGATTTTTCTGTCTTGTTTTGTTGGTTTGATCGGGTAGAATTAACGCGCTGGTCCGGTTTTCTAGTCTGGGATTCGCACGTCGGGGGTGGTGTTGAACACCGCTCTTCGTCTCTTTGATCTCAATTACAAGGTGTAAGTCCGCTTGCGTTCCGCGTCGGGTGATGCTGGATGACTGATTGCCTTCTCTCTAGATATGTTATTTCGAACAATACCATCGAAACACCCTCGACCTACGCATCCCAGATCCAGCAGACGATCTTGCAGGGCATCCTGCCCGCCAATCCTATCGACGTCATCACGATCGAGCAGGCCATCGCCGCGTTGAATCGGTCGGGTCCGGCTGTATACTAGTTCCGACTCATTTTGTATCGGCGGACGGCTAATGGGGTTGGGCGTCTAGTGGCATACACTGTATACAATAGAGCAGACATGGTTTTAGATGATGCTCGATGATTCCAGATAGTAACCTGAGTCTAGACCGGAGGCTTCTCCTCGAGGGTATTTGTAAGAGACATCACGACATTCGGAAATATGCATAGGCGGCGTGATAATAAAAGCAGTCCAAGATACTCCGTAACTTCCCGGAAAAGGGGGGAAGCTCAATCAGGAAAACAAAAAAAAAAAATCAAAGGAAAAAAGAAAGAAAGAAAGCAAGCCACAATGCGTGATGCATGCGGTGTCATCACCAGGGGAATAAATAGCCGAAATCACGGCAGTGGCTCTGTGCTACCAGATCGTGCAGATTAATTCCAAGTTAGACATCCTGACTCGCGTACAGTGAGACTTCCTCTTTTGAATTACAAATGCATTATGACGCGACTTCCGATGGCTATGAAGATTTGAGACTTTAAGGCAAGGATAATATCAATCGTGGTCTGACTCCCGGCACAGCCTACAGTAGACAGTAAGTAATTGGGACAGTACGGTTGTTGGCGCCCAGGCCCCGACCGAAGCTTATCGCTGATAAGCCCGGTTGGGATGTATTCTGGATCTGTCTGGTCCGCGCAATCTTTAGCGCAAAGCGCAATTCGAGGTTCGGGGTCGTCTCTCGCCATTCTACACGATAGAAATGACCCTGTGTGAAGGGTCTGAACTCCGAAGGAATCAAGTCGATGGTGCTTGATTGAACCCAAGTGTGGTCATGGTTAGTCACCTAGTCCATTTGCGCTACTCCGTAGTCGAGTCACCAAGCAAAGTTACCATGCGCTGACTGCCTACTATAAGGACTCCGAAGGGTAGCGGGACACCATCCACCCTAAGATTTGAGCCCTCATACATCGTTCTTTCTTTTACCGAATTCTTGCAAGAAGTCATTTCATTCCATTACTTTCAATTCCACTTTTGTAGTTATTGACACTAGATAAGCATTTCCCAGATGCCCTTCTCAAGCCACCCGTTTACAACAATGCTAGACAGGTCGTTCGTAAGTAATACCCCCCAACCTGGAACCACAACACCCACACTCCAACCCAACCCAGATCCAAACCAACCCTGGGTACCTATTTCATCACCGCATAAACCTCCAACGCATCATGCAACCGCCCAAAGACACCCCCATGCCACCCCTTGATCAACGCCCACTCCTCCTCGGGCAGCATGACACTGAACATGCGCAACCACGCGCCGACCAAGAAATCCGCATAACACGCGCGATGTCCCAGCACAAACGGGCCGCCCTCAGGTGTCTGCCCGAACAACCTGGCCAGCTCCCCCAGCGTCTTTTCGAGCGAGGTGATCAGGTTCTGGCGATACTCGCCCTCGCACTTGAAGTCCTCCCAGCTCGACACCGGCGCGCCCGCCAGCACCGCCCGCCGCACGAACTCCGCCTTGGCCGCCGCCTCGGTGGCCGGGTCGAAGGGAAACCCTTGCACGGTCAGCTGAACGTGCGCCGTGAACGCCGCGTCGACGTGCACGTTGAACCGGGCGTACGCGGCCAGCGCCGGGTGGTTCTTGGCGTTGCACTCGGAGAGCGGGACGATGGGCGGCGGGTCGAGCGGGAAGGTGTAGTCCAGGGGTTGCGCGGGGAAGAGGTCGCCGTCGCCGGCGGTTGGGTAGGTGGTTTGCAGGTGGGTGGCGATGTCGAAGGAGTCCCCCAGGAGGGCGGAGGTGTTGGGGTCGTGGAGGATCGGGAGCGTGTAGAAGTCGCTGCCGTCGGCGAATTGGCGGCACGCCGGCACGTTCAGGCTCTGCCGCACGCGGGCCACCTCCGGCAGCGGCACCCAGGTGGTCTGGTACGGCAGCTTCTTGAAGTTGAGCGCGAATCGGGTCTTCCAGGGGTTGGGCGAGCAGGCGTTCTTCGCGGCGGGAGGGCGTGTGGCGATGTCGTAGAAGATTAGGGGGTTGGTGGGAGTGGTTGTTGTGGTAGTCGTCGTTGTCGTCGTGGTGGTTAGCGGCATTTTGCGGGGAATGGTGATTGTTGATGAGAATGGATTGATAGAAGGAATTCGCGCCTTTGCGTCTATGAGCTGGATATGGTATCTTTGAGGAGAGCGATGGCTTAATGATGCTTGTGAGGATATGTTTATATACTTCTTACCCCAGGTCGCTTTTCATAGTCTTGTACAGTACCCAAGGTCGAGCTGGTTACACTGATGTGGGGTAACTCAGAGTGACGCATGTTGACTCATTCTGAGTGGTACTGACTGTCCTTAAGGCTCCACCGCTGCTCTGCATTGACTTTACATCCACTTTTTCTGTTTGCGGTACCTCAGCACAATACAGAGGCATCGAAGCATAACCTTTCTTCTTTACCTTTTCTCTTGTGATAGTGGAAGTCAATGTGTTCATGCTGTTTTCATCATCCGACACGTTTTGCTAATTGAAAGCGCTGGCATCGTAGTACTCCATAGTAGTGCCCTGGTTAGATGGCTTGCTGTAGAGTATACATACTCAAGTAGCTGGGAGCCATGAAGATGCTCTATGAAAATTGCTCTGAAGGAGAAAGCGACCGTGAAAAGTCTGTAGTCCAAATCTTCGATGCGAGAAGGTGAAGCCTGTTGAGCAGGAAACCGCCTTCCCCTTCTGTTGGCTTACGTAGCCTGGCAGCACTGCAGGAGGATCGGCTCCATGACTCTGAAACGGGATAAGGAAACGCAGAGCAGGGGGGGATGCGATTGCTTCCACCTTTTCCACTGGTCAAAGTCTACAACTTAGTGCCGACGCTAAGGTAGCGTGGCCGCCGATGATGATGTGCACAGTGCGTCAAATGACCTTGGGCTGGAAAGTAATAATGTGAGGGTATTATCGCTGTCCACTAGTTAAATGAGTTTGGGCTGGTCCCGCGGTAAGTAAACAGGCTGCGACCGGCCAGATTAAGGAGAGCAAGGTCGATAGACTTCCGCAGCTAATTGTGCGACAAGAGAGATGTCAGTGCGATGTGCAGGTAGGGCATTTAGTTATCTGAATGCACTGTACGGTATTGACAGTGCGTCTTCACGGAGATTTCTCTGCATTATCCGTTGGTATCACGATCTGCCAGATCGCCACTGTAATGACAGGTAAAACGGCGATACATCCATTCATCGCATAGTTCGAACGGACGTCCAGCGTTGCAGGCTTGAAAGCGACCCCCCCCCCCATTTTGGGATCTGCTATTGACACTTTTCCGGCTAGAGAGGCTTGTTGTCAAAACCTAGGTAAGGAAAAGGAAGCTCAAGCGGTTCATTTCCCGCAATTGACTTAGGCGATGCAAGGCACATGACGAGGAACCTTGAAATTCTGGATTGTTTCCAAGTTAGGTAAAAGCTGAGGGCGACTTCGGAGTCGTGGGGTGAATGCTTCACATTGGAGCCTTGAACCTTGTAAGAAAAGTGAGATCGTTGCTGGGTCGCCATTTAGATAGTGAAAAGGAGAGGGAGAGATAATGGATTTATTGAGCTTGTTATTGATCTATCGACGGAGTAAGCTCGACTTATCTTTTGTGCCGCGGCCGTCGCAAACAGTCCGGACCGAGCTACGGAGTAAGGTAGATAGGTTAAGTGGCTGGCCCTTGGGTCCTTGACTCAGGAAAAATGATAGATAGGGTCAATTCACCGGACTTGTCTCTGAACTCTTCGAGTTCCTTTACTTGAACAGGCAAGATCCGATCCTCCTTCTGGACCTTCCGCCAACGGTATTACTTGATGCGGGGTAGCGTCTTTCCTCGTGGAGGCTAGACTTGTGCGAGCTAGGCTCAAAGCAGGCAAGTGCTATCAGCTGACCCCCGCGTGGATTTTTCGTTCCGTTGCAGGGCAGCGTCATCATCATCGACTGAAACGAGATTCTCCGCTTCTTATTAGAGCTTGCTTGCGCGCTCTTGCTTGCTTCCAGCTTGCTTGCTTTCATGCTTGCTGGGGCTGGCTGGCTTGCTTACTTACCTACCTAGTAAGTTACCTTACTTGCTTCTTCTTTTTCCTCCTGCTTGCTGCCTCTTGCCCTTCTCTTACTTGCTTGCGCTTGCGCTTGCTCTTTCTTGCTTATACTCTTGCTCTCACTTGTCCTGCCAGGCTCAGAAGACTTGCCTATTCCCGTCCCCCCCCGAGCCCCCTCCTCTTCTTTCTCTACTCTCTCTTCCCTCCATTCCCTCTCTCTTTCATTCTCTTCACTCTCCCCCTCCTATTCCATTTACTACTATTCTACTCTATTCTTCCTATTCTTCTTACTCATTTGATTGTCCTTTTGTCTCCTAAATGAACAATACCTACAATACCTTCTCTCGACTTTGTCCTATCTAAGCGGTATCCTGCCGAGCTCTAGTGCCAAATTCGACGACGGGCTTTGCTTAAGCTTGATCCGAGGGATTTTTCTTTTCTGGGCAGCCCCGACCTTACCCGCAATTCTAATACTGCCATTGCGCGCCGTCGCAAACTCCCGCTCGGGCAATTGATTCAGAACCACAATTCGAACAATACCATAGATCTCAAACCAAAGTCTCCAATAAAACACGTTCGATGGTCTACTCAGACTGTTTTCCACCGACCGAGAGGTCAGGATCTGCAACGACGCCTCAATCCGAGTCGCACGAGGCCAGCAAATCAACCGGCTCGAGTAACGATGAATTCGATCGGAATGCCTCAGTAATCCCTGCCAAAGGGAGCCTCGACTCCCCTCCTCTATATAGTTTCCAGCCCCCGTCGAACCGCCTTCATGACCCGACTGCCCAGCACAACCCTCATCATCCTCTGCCCTCGCTGCAAATCCGTACCGACCTGCCAATCTTCAGTCAAATGAGCCCTCCCAGGGACGCTGACACCCTGGTACACCACAGCCTTTCCTCGAGCAGTCTGCCCCGTCGCACCCCTAGCTTACGCGGTCTCTTCGCGGCGCCTCCCAACAGTGGAGGCTCACTGTCGCCGGCCTCTATAATCTCGTCACCACAATTGGTAGCAATGGGCGACATCACCCCTTTACCGTCGCCCATCAGTGGCATGTCGCCATGGAAACACCCCCGGCGCAATTCCCAATCCCTCTCCCGGACCCCTTCGACGGTCTCACGAAAGGGCTCAAATCTGAGCCTGCGACTAAGCGATTCATCGCACATGCTCGGCGCTTGTGAACCCCGACCACGAAGCCGAAACAAGCATTACGCACTATCGGACAAATTGTACGAATCGCCGCTTGAGTCACCGACGAAACCACGGGCCGAATCCGCTCCCAAGCACGCGCGCAACCGCAGTTTGAGCGAATATGTCCCCCCGGGCCGAAGTGTCACTGTCAAACCACGACCCATTGTGGTCTCGGGAACCGGCGCGCCACCGGGAATCTCCACCTCCACCAGCACAGACTCAAATGCGCACAACCTCCATCGGGAGCAATATTTGGCCGTACATCGTGGAATCGCATTACCGACCGTGCGCCCGCCGAGTCCGCCACGCAGTAGCCGCAGTGGGCTCGATGAAGACGACAGTGGGCCTGTTATTACACCTGTTCCTGACACTGCGGATGAGATTTACTCGGTGCGTTCGGTGCGCACTCAGCAGCGCCGGAAATATCGCAAACTTCGTCAGCTTGGTCATGGAACGTTCAGTCAAGTCAGTTTGGCCGTGCGCGTGGAGACGCGCGATAGCGATCCAACGCAGTACGGCTCTAGCTTGCAGGACTTGAACCTTGCGACCCAGAAGTTGGTCGCGGTCAAAATTATCGAGTATGGACCGGCGGGAGGCGCGGATGAAGAGCGCTTGGAAGTTTCTCTCAAGCGCGAGGTGGAGATCCTTAAATCCGTCAATCACCCTTCGTTGGTCCAGCTGAAAGCCTTTGGAAGCGACGAGAAACGCGCACTGCTCGTCCTAGACTATTGTCCGGGTGGAGACCTCTTCGATGTGGCGTCTTCTAGCAACCGGCCTTTGAGCCCCCCTGTGATTCGTCGCATGTTTGCCGAATTGGTAGCGGCCGTTCGCTACCTACACGAGCACTACATCGTGCACCGTGATATCAAGTTAGAGAGTGAGTATTTCGGACTTGATACATAGTGCGAGGCCTAACTTGTCTTCTCACTTGCAGACGTTCTTGTCAATCTTCCTGTCTCCGCGATGGATACGATCAGCGACTGGCGCACATACGATCGAGCTATCGTGACCCTCAGCGATCTGGGTCTATCCCGACGGATACCCGAGCCTCCCGAAAGCCCACTCCTACAAACCCGATGTGGCAGCGAAGATTATGCGGCGCCGGAGATCTTGATGGGCCAATCGTATGATGGACGGTCAACAGACGCATGGGCGCTGGGCGTGTTACTGTATGCGATGATGGAAAACCGGCTGCCGTTTGACGCCTTGCCGGGTACTCGAGGCGACCCGGCGAAATTGCGCGCACGGACCCCCCATCGCATCGCGCGGGTGGAGTGGTCGTGGTATCGGTATGCGGACAGTGACGGCGAGTGGGATCCTGCCAAGGGCAGCGATCTGGAAGGCGCGCGAGAATGCGTGGAGGGACTCTTGAAACGTAACACCAAGAGGAAGAGTCTCGACGAGATCGCGTCCTTGCCATGGGTGAAGGACGCGATTGATGTGCCTGGGGGGCTGAAGAGGGGAGACAAAGAAGTGCCCTAGAGCTGGCCTCTTGGATCTACATGTTACCATTCTTATCTTTCTGTTTTAACCATTACTTTTTTCCCTCTTTCTTTTTCTATTTCTGTTTTGTGTCTGCATTTCTCATGATTTGACGGCGTGACTCCGAGAGACGATCCCAACCGCTAACGACGCGACTTTGTGATTTTTCTCAGTCTAGACCTCTCTTTTCCACGGAGAGATAGTTGCCACAACGAAGTTATAGGCATTAGACTTGTTAAGCCATGCTTGTATTAGTGTAATTTGGTCGAGCGTTCTGTTCTCAATTACCACTAATTGTACTGGTTGATAGATCTTAGTTTGAGTCACTTCCAGCCCGGAAGACAGGGAAGAATGAGAAGAGACATCATTCTAGAGGCAGTTATCAGTCACGATGCAGCATCGAATGCACATTCCAAGGCTGCTACATGGAAGTTAATCCAGCGAGGAACACACATTTAGAGAGCTAGATATATCCAAAATCATCTCGCAGAAAGTCTCATCTGTTTTATGTTAGTTGATTGGCATTTGTGGCTGGCTGGCTGGCTGGCTGGCTGACTAGAGCTGGAGCATCCCGATAGAATGTTGAGCCTGCAAGCGGCCAGACGCACCAAGACAATCGGTTGGAATGTTTGGCAGGGCAGAATTACCCGGGCGGTGGAGGGAGTCTAGACGTTCGTATTAGGCTTAGCGGCCACTAGGTGAGCCGGTAATTCCAGTTAAGTAACTTAGTTATCGCATGGAGATTGCTGAGTCAGTATCAGCCCCTGGATAGACCAAACCAGTGTAATCGATCATTTCAGTCCAATGAAGAATCTCGCTTCGATCAGCAGCCGGATCGACTGGGTCAGGAGTCAGGACGATTGAAGTCAGCATGGTTTTCCTATTGAACGAACACCCGTACTGCTAATTACGCAGCGCTTTCCCTCTGCGTAAGCACTGCACTCGCGGAAGGCTGCCTTAGTTGATGCCTTGGCTGCCTGCCGTACGCATCCGAGGACGCGCCAGCTCCGCATCATCAGTACTTAGTAAACTTACAGTCCTACAGTGCTGTAGATTCATATTCAGACACTGTCATGTTCTGTTTCGTCGGAACCACACCGCATCCGTCACAATAACTCTCCCAATTGATACAAGATGCGACACTCGATTACTACCGAGGTTCCCGCCGGTTCTCGAGGAATCTCCGTGGTGTCCATCCTGCCGACGAGCAAGGGCTCTTTCTCTCTTCCGCCCCAAGAAGTCCGTCTTAAAATAGGAGACCTGGCCCCATTTCCGGATTGACAGCTAGTCTGCCATAGGTGGTCTTAGTAGGGTTTGAGCATGCCTGCAGTGGAGTTCTTATCAGAATGTGTACCTTCTGGTACTGGCAATTATAATAAGAACAGAAAAAAACTGGAACTGGAATTCCCGCTTGGCGGAGACTGTTCTACTCACTCCGTACTGCAATGAAATGTAATAATGAACCCTGACTGTCCTTTTTCTCTCTTTCTTAACTCCCTATCCCGGAGGTTTCATCTTCAGTCTGCCTTCCATCCCCCCCCCCCTCCCTCCCTTCCCCCCCCCCTCTGTCCTCTTGAATGTCCCTCCCCCCTTCTCCTCTTCCCAATTTCCCCCCAAAAATGGCTCGATTTGAGTATTTGCGTGATTAGATGGATAGTTTTTGAAATTTTGTCCACATGTAAAATTGTTTCCTCTTCCTTCGTATATATACAAAAGCCCTTTTGTCCTTTCACCACACGCCGCTGCCCCCCCCCTTCTGTCTATCCGATCCGGACGGGCCATGGTCCCATAGGAGCTGAGAGAAAGCCATGTCGACCCAGTTCAAAGAATCCCTCGACCGCGAGGATGCCCCGTTTCTGTCGGCTGCTGCTGCTGCCGGCGTCGCCTCCGATTCCAACGTTCACCGGACCAATGCAGCCCACAAGCACAATGACGATGGGGATGAGAGTGACGACTCGCACCACCACCACCACCACGAGGAAGAGGAGGATGAGGAGGAGGATGTCAAACTGGTCAACAAGAAGATCCGCTTTCGCCTCATGGTGACACTGTTCGCCATGATCCTCGCCGTCGAGGTCGGCATCTGCATGTCCAACGGTCCCGTCACCCGCATCTTCGAGTCGATCGCCTGCCGCGAGTACTATGCGCAGTACGACCCCACGCAAATCGGCGCCAACGGGCAGGTCGACGAGGATCTGTGCAAGATCAAGGAGGTCCAGCAGGATCTGGCCGCCGTCAAGGGATACATGGAGTTTTTCGATGGGACTTTGAGTATGTTTCCATACCTGCCTGATGACCCTGACTCGTCCTCCCTTTGTTATTTCCTATTCTTGTCGTTGGCACCTCTCATCTGGTTGCGGAATGGGTGCGGTTGTTGGCGCGCGTATGAATCGTCTTGCTCATGTTCTTCCTGCAGGTGCTATCTTGGCAATCCCCTATGGTCTGATGGCGGACCGATTCGGACGGAAATCCACCATCTGTTTGAGCATCCCCGGCTTCGTTCTCAATTGCCTCATGCAGCTGGCTGTCATGTGGTTCCCGGATACGTTCCCCCTGCGAACCGTGTGGGCGTCGTCGTTGGCCTGGCTGCTGGGCGGGGGACCTGTCGTCGCGTTTGCGATTATCTGGACGATGATGTCGGATGTCTCGACTGAAGAGGAACGGTATGTTTGTTGCGATTTTTTAGCTGTTTTTTTTTAGCTGATTAGTTCGTTAGAGCGGCGATTTTCTTCAAGTTTGGGGTGGCGGGCATGGGGGCTGATTTCGCGTCCAGCGCGGCCAGCTCGTGGCTGATGGCCCTCGATCCGTGGCTGCCCTTGTTGCTGGGATGGGCTCTCGCTATTATTGGGATGTTCTTCGCCTTGTCGTTGCCGGAGACCATGGGCGCCTTCCCAGGGCGTGGGTCGAAGAAGTCGAATAATCTGGAACTCGGACAGATCTTCCCCAGCCACTCCGAATATAAATCCGTCCCGAGCAAAGAGCAGGAGCAGGAGGTGTCCAGTGATGACGAGGACTCTGGTCCGGGGGAGTCGCACGTCGATGAGAAGAGCGGTGCAGCCACCGCTACCGCTACCAGACGGACCTTCTTCGCCGCAGTGAAACGCCGGGTCCAGGCCTATTTCGCTCCTTACGCCTTCATTGTACAAAACCGCCAGATTATGCTCCTCCTGACGGCGTTCCTCGTCTACCGACTCAGCCGCGGCTCGTCCTGGTTTCTGGTGCAGTACATCTCCACCCGGTTCAAGTGGACCCTGGCGGAAGCCAACTTCCTCATGTCCTTCAAGCCGGCCCTGACCATCCCGCTATTCCTCTTCGTCCTCCCGGCCATCTCGCGACGCCTGCTCAAGTCCATGAAGCCCACGCAGAAGGATCTGACCCTGATGCGCATCAGCATCGTGTTCTTGGCGGTCGGGACCCTGGGGATCGGGCTCTCGAGCCACGTGTACATGCTGATCCCGAGTCTGCTGCTGCAGACCTCCGGGTCCGGGTTCGTCTTCCTGACGCGCTCGTTGATCACGACGCTGGTGAAGCGGGAGGAGACGGCGCGGCTGTTCACGATCATCGAGGTCCTGCAGTCGATGGGCAACGTGATTGCCAGTCTGTCGATCACGACTGTGTTTCAGATTGGGCTGGAGCTGGGAGGGCGGTGGATTGGCCTGGCGTGGATGATGACTGCCACGGCGTTCATGATGGTGGGAGTGGCGGTTTATATGTTCCGCTTGCCTCGTTCATGAGAGGCGAATTTTTTGAGCGACTCGTATTATTATCCTTCTTGTATAAAATGTTAAATGTTGTATAAATGGTTTTGAATATACCATGTGTACTTGAGATATGGCGATGATGCTGCTGAACGTCATGTCCGGCAGTCATGTCAACCACGTGCTAGTGGGGCTCTAGCCTAGCGTGCTGGTACTCCTTAAGATAAAAAAAAAACGGTATAGTTTTTCCATCAATGACAGACAATTATGCCGTGGTCTGATAGCTATACCGTGATAAACAATGAACGAGTTGCGATGTGCAGCACTCCCAAAAGGGAAATGTGGCTGAGCCTCGGCTTTTAGTCCGTCATGGCCGGCCTCATCCCAAAGGAGGCTAGTGGGATTGTGACCTGAACATTGTTGTGGACATGTGAGAATCACCAACTCCAACTTCAACAGTTGAGCTCAACAAGCTTTGCTCCTCGACCCTCTCTTCCTTTCTCACTCGAGGTTGTTCAGACCTAGTTTGGATCCTGCTTATTACTCAAGGCAAACTGCTGGTAATGTGCTAGCACATGGCCAAATTGGCGATCACACAACCTCCCCCATAACCCACCACTCTCCTCCACCACCACCACCACCACCACCATCACACGACCATTCCTACCGAAGCATGGAGAAATTCACCCAATTCCGAGATCGAGGTCAGCATTCCGTACCTGTCTCGGCATCTGCCGGGCTCAGAAATTGACTTTTACCAGGCTCGGGCATTGCACCCTTCCTCCCCATCCCTGCTCAGCCCATCAGCTACCTGCAGATCCCCGTCCGCATTGTGCTGTTCTGGATCCGACTGCCGCTCTTTGTGTTCGCCTGTCTGAGTTACTTCCTGGTGCTACAATGGCTCCCGATCGGATCGCTGGGCAAGAAGGCCTCCCTCTGGTGTATTCTGGGGATCCCTAGTATCTGGTGGATCGATCTGCAGGTGGACGGTGTGCGAAAAGGGTGAGTGCAAAGTGGGCGGGTGGGTGATGTCTTTCAGAACCAGCCCATCTGCCAGAACCTCCTCCAGCCTCCCACCAACATCAATCCCTCAAGTCTAACTGCCTCTAGATCCCTGCACAGACAAGACCAGACCCGCCTCCCCGGCCCGCGATCCATCATCGCCTCCTCCTTCACCTCCCCGATCGACCCGCTCTACCTGGCCGCGATCTTCGACCCCATCTTCACAGCCTGCTACCCCAACACCTCGGAAGTCGAACAGATCTCGCTCTTCCAAGCGATCCTGCGCGCCTTCAGCGCCCCGCGGCCCACCGCACCCGCGGCCCACAAGCTCACCACCCTCGACGCCCTCCTCCGCAAGTACCCCGGCCGCGCCCTCGTCACCTTCCCGGAGTGCACGACCACCAACGGCCGCGCCATCCTGCCCCTCAGCCCGGCGCTGCTCACCACCCCGCCCGCCACCAAGATCTACCCCATCAGTCTCCGCTACACCCCCGTCGACGTGGTCACCCCGCTGCCCGGCAGCTACCTCAGTTTCCTGTGGAACCTGCTGAGCAAACCCACGCACTGCATCCGCGTCCGCATCGCCGGCGGCGTAACGCCTACCACCTCAACCTCAACCTCAACCTCAACAACCGCCGCAGCATCGACCGGCTCGTCGACCCGCAGAAACTACGACACCAATTACCTGGACACGCTGGACGCCTCGACCCGCAGCGCCTCGTCCTCCCCGGAGGCGACGGGCGTCTCCGACGCGGCGCTCCTCGACCACGTCGCGGACTCGCTGGCGCGGTTGGCCCGCGTCAAGAGAGTCGGGCTGAGCGTGAAGGAGAAGGTGGATTTCGTCCGCGTGTGGACGCGGGGCAGGTGGGTCTGGTAGGGTTAGCCTGGCCTTTGTCGTCCTTCCCTTCCTTCCTCACGTGCTGGTTCAAAGCCCATGTTGTGTATGAAATGAACCCGGTATTCTCCTGGTAGTGGAGCCTCGTGTAATGTATTCTTTACTCTTCTTTACCTCTTTCCTCCGGTCATGCTAGTGCAGTCTCAGATCCGAGGGATTGTGAGTAAGTCTGTATGTGGAACGAGATCCGTGGGGACCTGAATAGTGTGCAGGGTGGAGTGGACGGTCTCCAGCTCATGGGAAAGGGTGAGCGTACGCATGCGGGTGTCTGTTTGTAGTGGGAATGGTGGACCGATTGTTCTTACGCCTCAACCTATGGATTCGGGGATTCCGGGCGTTCTTGCTTCTTACCCGGAGCCATGGTCATTGCTATGGCTAGGTCGTGCTACGGCAGAGAGGTAAGCAGGTAGGGACGTTCGGGGTCAGGTGCTGGATGTATGTATGGTATCTCTGGAGGTATGTAATACAGGCGGGTCATCGTTCAAGCGGTGTCTATCCATGGCATCGCAACACAGGTATCGTTGTGTTTGGCAATATGTATGTACAACCCTCTGCTCCAAGGCGAAGGTACTTGCGATGCAGATCGGAGATATCTGCTGCGATGATGATGATGATGATGATGATGATGATGACGGTCAATTATGAGTAGGTTCTGCTAGAAGGTGGACCGCCCCCGCCCCCAGTAGGAACCGTGTCTAGATATGAAGAGCTCACTAGCATTAAGAAGAGCCGTCAACAGAAAGCCGGCGAGCCAGTATTTAGAACCCTGGCTGATTGGAGATGCTCAATTACGGACGACAATCTAGCAACTCCTCGTGACGTGCGCGACGCTTACTATATATTTGGGAATGGGGACTAAGTATGTGTATGTGTAGGAAACGGACAACACGCACCTGAGGCCTGAACTCAGGCGCAATAGGCTTCGAAACGGCGGAAATAGTGAGAAAAAGAGTGAGGAAACACTCTTGATAAAGACATGGCAATACTGTACATCCATTCGATCCCCTCGGTTGATATATCCTAGCCCTAACCATGATATACGAAGACAGATACAACGAAAAGAAGATACATAACTAGGACTCTTTGGACCAGAACATCGAGCCGTAAATAGAACATACATATAACCCTTGTCACCGTCATTGATCTCGTTCACATAGGACCTGCCCAGATTTGTGAACCGGTTGCCTCCCCAATTCTCCGAACTGGTGGCTGAGGACTATTCTATCTCGAGGGGAGCCGCTGCTGGAGCAATCCCTAGACCCGGGTATCCGGCCTCCTCAAACAAGGTTCCGCGTGCTTGAACGATGGCTGAGACCTCGAGGAGAAACTCGTATAACAAGATCACGTTGGTCAGCACATGGCCCAAGGTCGCTTCCTGCTGGTCATCCTCTTCGTCGAGGACGGCTGAAGTCGTGGGGGGTTCATCAGGCGTAGGAACACCTTCGGATGCCGGAGTTGGGGCTAGGATCTGAGCGGTGTCGGAACTCCCACCCTCAGCCGAAGTGGGCTCAGTTGGAGTGGGTTCAGTTAAGTTGTCGGTGGTGGTGGTGGTTTCACCTGGGGTAAGAGGGTTCACTGCGAATGGCTGCTCGAGCCGTCGACGGAGTTCGTCGGCGGCATTCTTCCGTGCGACAGAGGTTTCTCGTGGAGGTCGGAAGGGAAGGTCTTGAGCGGAGAAAAAGTCCCTAGAGCTATTCCGAGTTGGGGAGGGGCTGGCGGTGGTTCGATCGAAGGGTCGACTAGTGGGCCTGCCTCGGGGCGTTGGTGAGCCGAATTCGGATTCAGCGCGCGGGGTCGGTCGTTGTGAAGGAGAGCGGGTGGGCGGTTGGGAACCCCCTTGTGAACGGTTGGGGGTTTGGGCCGGCTCATCGTCCTGATGGAGTAGGTCCCGGCGCGCGGCGACAAGGATATCGAAATCGGGAATCTCCTGACGCCAGGTTTGGATTTTTTGCACGAGCTTCTGAAGGGTCGACTTGAGAGCCGGCGTGTCGGCTTGATCCCACGTTGGTTCCTCGTAAGCATGCTTGATTTGGTCGAGAAGATTGGATGCGCCCGTTTCTTCGGCTGTGTAGACATATTTCGCCGGATCTACTAGAAGCCATCCATCGAGAGATATCAAATGTGATGCAACGATACTCCCCAAGACCTCTGTAAGGGCTAGGTTCACAACTACACTATTGGTGAAAAAGTTTCCCAGGCGGTGGAGCAACTCGTGCACGATAGGGTCATCCTGTCGAAGTTCGAGAGGAAGGTGGTCTTCTGGGTTGTCCTCCGAAAGGGCCATACAAAGGCGGGATTCTAGGATCGCTAGCCCATCCTTCAGGTAGTTGTCATAAGAATCATTTAATGTCGGGTCGTCGACTATTGACGTAGCCATGCCCAGCAGTCCTTGAAGCTCGACGTTCAGAGCGCCCACGGTCCGCTGCTTGGCATATTGACCTGGGACGGTCCGGACCAACGACCGTGCAAAAGAGTGATGTCTCTGTAACACGACAGTCATGAGACGCAGTGTCGCCAAAGTGGTCTGACGGTTAGCCGACTGAAGTCCAAGCAAAGTCAGGTCTCGGAGGTTGAATAAGGATGGTGAAGGTCTCGCGGCTTCTTCGGAAAACGCAGCCAACACATCTAGTGACTTCCGTCGACTGGCAGACATGTCGATGGTGACGGGCTCCGAGTCCGAAGGGGAGGCAAGAAGGAAATGGAGAATCCGGTGTACAAGGTCTTCTTGATTCACCGACTCTAGAATCCGATAGAGATAGGTAAGTACCGCGGCCGTCGAACCGCCCTCGACGTCTGAAGATTCGAGCAACGATGGGTACCTGTGGGCATACTCAGTATAAAAACAAGTCACCTTGGGTAGACAATGACTTACAGCAGCTGCTCCAGGAACAGTACCTGGAAATGATCCAACAGTGACCCGTTCACTTCGGCCGACTTGCAGTGGTCGATCGTGTCCTGCCAAAACAGTAGATACGACATAAACGAGTCCATCGACGGGCCGAGCAGCGGGGGAAGAGCCGTTTCTTGATTGGCATGGTCCGAAAGAGCGACGATATGTGGAATGTTTTCATCTGTGTTCTCAGGGAACGTCAAGCTAAATCGGCATGGTTAGTTAGGCCTGGCAGACCTGAAACACCCATCCATGATTGCATACGCACCTTCCCAATTGGCTGTACAGCGCGCCCAGACCGGTTGCCATCAACGTCGCCAGATCGCTCTCAATCAGCCATCGCTCGAGATTCTTCGACCTCGAGGCCGTCTCGATCAGGTAAAGTAGACCGGTGCGAGCGAAATCGCCAGCGCGGCCCGCGTGGTGCACATATTCCACCAGCAGGTAGAACAGCGGAAAGTCATCCTTTCTCATGGCACCGGCAAACTCCGCCCCGTTGGTACTCTGCTGTTCCCGTACCTGCTCGTCGGATCGGGGAGCGAACCACGCCGGAAGGATATTGGGTTGCAGGCGGATGTTGTTGGCCACCCCGAATAGAAGCTCGACGAGTCTCCCTTCCACATCTTCTGAATGCTTGTCTGCCCGCCGGACAAGATCCACCAGCGCCCGCGCGAAGAGACGGTTATCGACTACCCCGTCGACCTCAGAATCGATCAGAGTGTTGAAGAACACGGTCGCAGAGCGGAGCATGCCATCGTCGTAGGAGGAGAGGGCGAGTTTGGTGACGGTGACGAAGATCTGCGAGGAGGAGGCGTATGCGAGGCATGGATGAGGGGCTGGGCCACGGGACTCGTCGCTCAGGACGGAAATCAGCCGATCAATGCAGTTGCGCGCGTTGACTGTCGCGGACTGTTCGCCGGAGGGAGAATTGCTGGAGCGCCATATTTGCTAGAAAGATCAGCGTGGGATCGCGAGCTGCTCCCACCAAGGACAATGGTATACCTGTAGAGTATTACACGTTCGCTTGAACGAGGTCAATCGCTCTGTGGGATTCGTTGCCCGAAAGCTCTTAGTAGAGAGCGAGCGGGAGCCCCCGATAATACGAGACCACTGCGTTGTATCAGTTTGTTTGCTTCGACGGAAATGACGAGGATCTAGAATACGAGGAAAGAGTCAAACATACAAAGTCCATGATTCTGAAGGACCAGCATGATACTATGTCTCAAACATGATCAGTGAGCGTGAAGGAGGGGGAGGGGATGGAGAGTCGGAGGGGGAAAAGGTTAACGATGTGCAGGAAGAAGGCAAGAGCAGCAGCTGGAGCAGTACTAAGTTGAGCGAGTGCCTGGGGCTGGAACTCAGGCCCAAACATGCACCCAAAAGGGGTTAGTCTGATGCGGACCCGGGTGCCCCCCGATCGGGTTTAGTTGTGTTTCCACTGCGACGTTCCAAAGAAACCTTATCAAGTGCAGTGCAGTGTGTAGTAGGTACCTTAGTAAGTATTCTTCTTCGTCGCATTTCGAATGCCAGTTCCAGTCGACGCTCAGCACCTGCAACCAACGAGTACCTATTCTACAGTACAAAGAGATTCCGTCACATTCACTGAGATTGTCACATCAACCAGGACGTAGAAAAAGGACAAGAGCGAAATCCCCAATCCCCACCTAAGGAAGCGAGTACAGAAAGAGAGCCAAAAGAATAAAGTACCTGTTCACATCGCGAGAGATGCAAGCCCACCCATGCCCACCACCGCAACGCCTAGAGAGTATAGTATGCGCCCGTTCTCCATTCCGGTCTAGGAATAGCCCAGCAGATAGTCCACTAATATAGGAAGCGAAAAAAAAAAAAACAAAAAAAAAATACAGAATCGATCATCAGATGAAAATGCGCCTGAGAACCGTTGCCCAAAATAATTCAATCGCTGTCATCTTTAGGTCGACGGCCACCTCTCTTTCGTTTCGGTTGTTCATTCTGATCACTGCCATCATCTTCATGTTTCCGACTCGGCGGTTGGTCGGGCACCTTGGCAATAATATCTGCCAGAAAGTCGAGTACCTCGTCCTTGGCCACGGCTTGTTTGAGGTGCGAGGCAGTGACGCGTTTGGAGTTGCGATCCTTGGCTTCCTTGGCGGCTTTGGTGACGAGAGAGATCATAAACAATTCCAGGGCTTTCGCTGTGGGGAGAGAAAGAAAAACAAAAGATTAGTACAAATTCCACAACAAGCGCGAGAAAGACGGAGGATGAATTGTACGTACAGACAGCAATTGGCGTGACCTGTGCGACTTTGCCGACATCTTCATCGGCCTGCATAATGCGCTTTATGCGCGCAACGGGGAATTTGGTCTTGACCTCGACGGGGACCGCCACAGGAGCAACAACAGGAGCAGGCGGGGGAGGAGAAGGAGAAGGAGGTCGGACAGGCTCCTCTTCCTCCGAGACCACCGGGTCGATGTATTTGGATGTGGGCTGCGGCGCGACCTCGGCGGCCTGGTGGGCAATACGCGTCGAACGGCGAGCCATATCCGGGTGTAGATGTGTCGCGTCGGCGAAGGTATAGAGATTATATTGATTGTATTGCTGGGGAACCCTGCTTGGCGGGGCCGGGGGTTGTTGTTGATACTGCGGGGTGAAGAAAGGTGAGGCGTCGTAGGAAGCGCGATGGGCGAGCGGATTCCCAAACGGGTAGACGGAGTGGTTGACGGAAGGGGAGATGGGGGATTGGAAGGTGGAAAAATCAGGGGATCGTGGTCGGTAGGAATTGTCTTGTTCGGTCATCGCCTGTGGGGATTAAACGGGGTTTTTTATTATTACTTATTTTTTTTGTGAACAAGGACAATGACAAAATAATGCGCGTGCGCGCCTAGAAGCAAGAAAAAAAACAGACTAGTATAGAATAAATATGGGGAACTGGTTCTTCTCGTACCTTTACCGCCAGTAGTAAACTTGGTGGAAATCGTGTTCGAGGGTCACAAGAAGTAAAGAATCAATGGAATAGTGAGAAGGTTCAGTCTGGTTTTAGAAAGACATGAAACCTTTGAGTGATGGTCATATCAAAGAGGGACAGTCAAGAAGTCGATGTGTTTTTCTTGATGATTAGTATTATTACTATAATAATAATAATAATCAAGAATTGTCGAACAATGAAGAGGATAGGAAGGGGATGTTTTTGTAGATCGCGCGCAGCGGATGGCCCGAGCTTTTGTCCCTTGTGTTGTGTTTTGGGAGGTGGGCAATACGGTAACAGTGGTGTAAAGTAGTGTAAGATCGTGTCAAGAGCCAGCAAAGTGCGTGTGCCCAAGAGCAGCCGGGGAGGTGGCTACAGCAGCTACAGCAGCTACAAGCAGCCAGACAAGAGAAGGTCCGGGTGTCTTTCCTTCCGGGGAGCAGCGGCCGCCCTTTTTAACCCTGCGCCTCCGTTACACCTGCAACGCTAGGCCTGATTTTGCCTATTTTCGTCCTTACTTACTTTTTCTTTTTTCGTTTTCGTTTTCGTTTTTCTTTTTCCTTGTTCCTTTTTCGCTTTTTTCTTTTGGCAGCCAGTTCTCGAGCACTCCGAGTAATTTCAACTCTCCCATTTCGTTCAACCTGGGTTCAACTGGTCAGTTGGAAAAAAAGATAGCCCTACCACTCACCCATCCACCACACCCACCATCTTTCCCTTTCTTTCACCTCACCTCAACTTCTGCAGACTTGATGACGATGACTACAACCACCCAGTCACCACAGCCGCAGCCTCCCACTCCCCAGCGAACGAACCACTTCCTCCTTGCCACCCCGCCCGTAGAACTTTGGCATCTGGTTCACCCACTGATTGGATCTTGACTGCATTTACCTTTACCGCGCGTGATTCATTCCGTCGAGTCAGCGAGGTCGATGATGCAAATCCATCCCTGCTTCCGACGCCTGTCTACCTTACACAGCCTATCCCCCTTTTTTTTTTTCGGGGGGAGGGGTGTCATACAGGTGATTTGACACATTTCAACTCAACTCTTGCATGGAAGAGCTGAGCCATAGTTTCATAGTCTTTGCGGTGTTCTGTGTTTATTTACCTCCCCTTCGTGATCATGATTGATCATGGGGTAATACCCTTCACACCCCCCCCTCCCCTTCCAGTTCCTGCCTTCAAATAAGGCACCACCATTACTACCCACGGCACTTGATGATGATACAAAGAGCTCTTGAGACTCCAGAGGGGCGCGAGAGACCCGACAATCAGGCAGAAACCGCAACTTGTGGGTATCGCCATTGTAAGGGATCTCTCGTTGTTGGCCAGTTTATTCTCGCCATCCTCAGTCATTGACGGCATAAAATTAACTTGATCTAATCTGACCATGTGCTGCTTAATTGTTTTGTGGTGCCTGCCCCTGTTGCCTTGCCTAGTGTTTTGCGTGTCAAATGAGAACTTGGGATGCATGCGGGTTCATGAACACCTTGCGATCATTCATAGGTAGATTGAAAGTTACCGGAAGGGAGGACAATTCCGGCTGCCAGGTGCGCATAGCCTAGTGCTTACTCATTTGCAACCAATTTCTCTTCCTTCATGATGAGGAGGAAGAAGGTGCTGCTGCTGCTGCTGCTGCTCTGTCGTGAGCCTTGCCGTACATGGGATCAATGCAGCGAACCTTATAACACTGATTACGCCGTAAACGCTGGGCGGTGTAAATCAATCGTCACCAACATGACATGTCTTCAATACAGTACTTGTAGATGTATCAGACGCGTGCGATCGACAAACACAACACGTTCTGAGAGATATTTAGGTTGTACTGTACATGTACATAGTGATAGTGAAATAAGATTAATCAAGAGTCCTAAGGGATTTGGGACTGTAAGCTTCTTGACCCATAGAGTACTTGTTCAATTTGGTTTGCGAATGTTGCTGTTGGATTCGAGAAGAATACATAGAGTTATAGTTGAGTCAAACGAGGTGACTTAACTATCCTCCTCTGCAGGTGGTGGGTGTTTCAAGTGGTTGATAGAGAGCGAGCTGAGACTCAGTTATGAAACCGAGACCGAGACCGGGGAGGCAGTATTATTCTTCCGCTCCGGCCCGCTGTCCGACCCTCCAAATTTGGTCCCGGCAGGCAAATGCGTGATCCCATCGCGATCGCTATTCACCACCTGAGCTAATCTTCCCCCAATCACAACATTACTTCACTTGTGGTGACGCCAGCAGGCATGGCCCTTGTCTCCCGTTGATGGCGCACTGAGCATGTGGTTTATCTTCGCCATTCTGGCTTCCACCTCTCTTTTCTCCTAACATCAGTCGCCCGGACGTCTCTCGTCCCCATTGATTGATCTCTTCGCTTTCCACTACCCTCCAGAAAAGAGCCGGTGGTGATCTTCGCGATGGCTGTCGCAGACCAGCCTTCGGGCCTGATGGATATCGCCAGGTAGGCTAGATCTTTTGTGTCTTCGTTACTTCGTTTACCGTGATGACTGATCAGCACTCCCTGCGCCGGACAGCTCATTGACGCAGGATGAGATTCCGTTCAAGCTGCGATGCGCCATTTGCAATAAACTGGCTGTGAACGCTTTCCGCCTTCCGTGCTGCGACCAAGCCATTTGCGAGAACTGTACGCGCGACCTCTTCCAGTTTGATTCTTTCCCAGTCGTCTCAACTAATCCGCAATGATCAGGCCAAGTGTCTCTCCCCGAAACATGCCCCGTCTGCGCGCATACGCCCCTCTCTTCTGATCTATGCAAACCGAACAAAGCCCTTCGAACTACCCTCAAGGCCTTCCTTCGCACCGAGGAAAAGAAGCGCGAGAAGGAACGACAGTCGGCGACGCCCGCGACGCCCGCGGATGCGACTCCAGCTCAACAGGAACTTCCGGCTGCAGCGACTGGTGCTGGGGATCAGCCCGCAGAGGACGGTCCGGCATCTGGCACTGCTCCTGTTGATAATGTCACTGAAGAGCCCACTACTGGATCTAACGATCCAGAGCCCAATGCGGACAACGCCATCAGCAGCGAACCTGCTGAGGCTTCTGCTCTGGTAGGCCTCCGAAACAAGTATAGTTTGCCCCGCTAACTCGATACTCTTCCAGGGCGAAAATGACGAGAATTCTTCAGCGCCTTTACCGGACCACTCAGATGAGACCGCCCAAGACGGAGCTCGGGAGGATGGTCCGACCGATGAGAACCAATCCGCTCAGGCCAACGAGGAAGATGTCTCCCAGGGCGGCGAGCCGGGGTCAGTGGCTCCCAACGGTATGGGCTTTAACGCGGGCGCCGGTATGTTTCCCAACATGGGCTGGAACGCCGGAAGCTTCAATCCGATGAGCCAGTACATGAACAATGGAATGTTCAATTTTCCCATGGGTCAGTCTCCGCCCTGTCATCTCTGTCTGCCATTCCTTTACTGACATGCTACTTCAGGAATGCCTGGAATGGCGATGGACCCGATGGCCGCGAATCAGGGTATGTTTGGGGGCTACGGGATGAACATGAATGGTATGAACATGGGAATGAGTTTCGACGCGGGTCAGGGGATGTATGGGGGATGGGACGGCTCACAGAACAATATGTGGAATGGAGGCCAAGATAAATTCAATCCAAATGCTTTCGCAAATGGTATGGGTCCGCAATACGGGGGCCCCTCTGGCTTCGGTGGATATAATATGTCTCAACCCAACCTTGCTCAAATGCAGCAGCAACAATTCCCTAGCCAAGATTATCAGAACGGGTCGTATGGCTCGGGGTATGGCAGAGGCAATTTTCGGGGTCGCGGTCGTGGTGGATATTTCCCTAGTGGTCGTGGCCGCGGCGGTCTTGCTGGTGGACATATGCAGGCCGCTTACCCCCCTAATGCTAACTACCCAGCGTTCCCTAACCATAATGCCTCTAATATGAACCCGGACATGGCGGCCGCTCAGTCGCAGGATGGTGCTGCTGATATGTCTGGGGAGTTCGGTCAAGGAGACGCTCAGGAGGTCAACGAATCAGCGCCCAACGGTGAAGTGGTCAACGCACACGATGATAATGTGCCCAATGATGGCATAGCCACCCATGGAAATGCCGAAAATGGTGAATCAAATCCCACTGATCCCGATGCTGCTGCTGCTGCTGCTGCACAGGAGACTTCAGCACAGGAAGAGACTCAGCTTCAGGGCATCCCCACCATTGATAGTCTAGACCAAGTCAATGCCATGCAGGCGATGTCGAACTTCCCCATGGGCATGCCAGTGCCAGTGCCAGGACCGATGGGAGCTGGATTTGGAAGAGGCGGAGGGTTCATGCGTGGCGCCTTTTCTGGTGGAGGACGAGGAGGAGCTTCCTTCATGGGAGCTGGTGTCAGCGCAACGTATCCCGAGCCTCGCGGTCAAGGCGTGGAAGGCGCACCTGCCGCGCCTCGAGCCATGCGAGAGGGTCTGCCCAACACCAGCGTTCTCCGACAGCGTAATTTCCAGCTTCCTGGGGCACGATCTGGGGCTTCATCTGCGCAGCCCTTCGGAGCGACCCCTCATAGGTGAGAAACGAGACTCTCAACCCGCTTAGCTCAAGTCTTAACTAATCGTCCTTCTCCCAGCGCAAGCGCTACGCCGACTCAGGACGATCAGCGACCACGATCAACCTCCCGCTCAAGGTCACGACCCAGGTCGACATCCAGAGCCAAGAGCCGGTCACGATCGCCCCAGCCTTCTTCTCAACAGGACGGTCGTCGCTCGTATCGGCAACGCTCCACCAGCGTGGACATGCCCGGAGACGATCCCGAGCGACGCCGCGAGCGACCCAGAAGACCCCGTCGCGACGACAAGTACGACGAGGCGTCCGGTGCAGACGACGGCCATCGCACCCGCTCTCCGTCGCGCGATTCTCGCCGTTCGACTGCCCACGGCCGTCGCGATAGGGACCGGGACAGGCGCAATGGTCGACGATCGCATCGCTCCCGTCGCCACCGCAGCTGGAGTCGCAGCCCCAACCGCAATGGGGATGATACCGCCGCCACCACCACCGCCGATCGGCTCTCGGCCATCCCTGAAGACAACGGCCGCAGCAAGACGGGCGACAGCTATCGGGCTAGTAGAGACCGCTCCAGCCGCTACGACGACGAGCGCGATCGGGACCGTGACTCCAAGCGCCGTGACCGAGACCGCGACTGGGACCGGGACCGCGATCGTACCCGTGACCGCGACCGGGATCGGGATCGCTACCGTGAACGCGACAGAGATCGTGATCGTGATCGTGATCGGGACCGTGACCGAGACCGGGATCGAGACCGCCGTGACCGGGATCGGGACAGGGACCGCGATCGTGACCGTGATCGTGACCGTGATCGAGATCGCGACAGGAAGCGCTCCCGCCGCGACCGCTCCGGATCCCCTGCTGGCAGTGAATACTCCTCTCGTCACCACTCCTCCCGAAGGGACAAACGTGGTCGTGACGACGAGGGTGGCGACCGCCTGCGCGAGAAGGCGACCACGGCCTCGGCCGCCGCCAAATCGGGCGAGCCCGAGAAAGACCCGCACACCCTGGAGCGCGAAGCCCGCAACCGCGAGCGCATGCTCAAGGAGCAGCAGCGTCGCGAGGCCATGCACGCAGACAGGGATGGCGGCAAATCCTCGTCGTCGCGGAAGCGGGACGGTCGCGGGTTGAGTGGTGGCCGCCGTCTCAGTTACAAGTATGAGGATGAGGAGACGGACGATGCTCGTGCCGCCCGGGTGGAGAAGGAGAGAGAAGCAGGCCGGTGGTAGTTGTCCACCTCCCTGCTTGACTGCCTTATCATGACTGCGGTCGAACAAAGAGACAGCTCATCTCTTTTCATTGATTGACTTTCCGTCACAATCTCCTGACTCATCTCTTTCCCTCCCACGCCCCTTCCACCCTCTGCATATCATACCACCTATCATCCTCTCACATCATCCATATTCTTCCCATTGACAAAGAGCATATAGAGCGGTCATCCATCTGAGCTTGATTATTGAATCTTCCCCTTTTCCGTCCCCATCCTCTGAGACTCATATGGTCAAAAGGCAGCATTCCCCCTCTTAAATCGGAGTAGATGAATCACCCGCAGCCAGTGGCGAGAGATACTGCGAAAGCGAAGATGAGAGTAGTATGATCAATAAAATCACAACCTTCACATGAAATAGCCATCTATAAAATTCGGCTGCTACCGATAAGTATGGATTCCACTATCGAGACTCGCATAAGGACCGCAATCCATGAAGAATCCCGATATTCGTAGATGTAGTTGCCATGAGTAGAAGATAGCTACGCAAAGCATACATATGCCCACTAGCAACAAGACAACCATGCACAACTCTATCAAGTTATAAGTTATGTAGACATCACTATGCAAAAGGGGCCGTCGAGCCAGCAAAGGGGGGATAGAGCTTGAGAGGCGAAAAGAGAAAGTAGTTACATTTCATGAACACACACGCACACAATACAGTATACATCAGAGGTCCTGTCCGTTGATGGGTTTGGTTTTGAGGGAAAACGAAGTGTGCTCCGAGATTAAGAAGAAAAAGAGAGTCATAATAGATACATGCAGTACCTAATTGGAGGTAGGTTGGCTGGGGTTGGGATTATGGGTGATGTAGATGGGGAAAGGGGGGCGAGAGGGAGCAAAAGGGAAAGGCTTAGCCCAGCTTAGCCTTGAGGGATTCGATCTCCGCGGTCAGGCTCTGCATCTGCTGAGCCTGGGAGGCGATAGTCTTGGTTTGCTCGGCGATGAGCTCCTTGATGGCGCCGATCTCCCGTTGCACGGCGTCGGCGGCGTTGGCAGCGCTAGTGGAGATGCTGGGCGAGGGGGTGGATGTTGCTGGGGCTGGGGCTGCGACGGTGGGGGTGGCGGCGCGGGGGGTTTGGGCGGGGGAGGCCTGTTATTTATGCGTTAGTTTTGCGGGTGTTGTGAGATGGTAGCAAAGAAGATTAGGAATTGTTCGTACCTTGGAGGAAGTGGGTTGCGTCTTGGCCTCCTCTTCCTTCTGGTGCCATGGGCTGGCCTTGATGGTGGGCGAGGCGGCTTCGGGAGTGCGAGCGGCGGGCTTGGGGGCCTCGTCGAAAGCGGACGGCTCCTCGGGCTCAGCCTCTTCTTCTTGATCGGCGAATTTGTTCACCATGGCGGCCATGGAAGCACCCTGGTCCTTCATGGAGGCGTTAGGTCTGGCCACAGGGGTCGGCTCCGGGGCGGGTTCGGCCTCCTTCTTGACGGGGGCGGGCTCTTCGGCCTTGGGAGCGGCGGGAGCAGGAGTATCCAAAGAAGAGGTGGGCTTCTCCTGTACTCCAGTCACTTCCTTCAGTCCCTCACCCTCGTAGAGGTTAGCCATGGAGATCTTGGGCGGGATGGCCTCCTTGCCAGCAAACCACTCGTCGGGGCCCATGGCAGGCTTGAGGCCAATGGTTGGGGGGTAGATGTCGTCCTGGAAGGTCTCGGCACGGCGGGGGACGATGAAGGAGACAGGCTCAATGTAAGAGTCATTGACGGTCTTGAAGGCACGGATGACTTCGTTTTCATGGGTGTTCACACCGCGCTTGGGCATGAAGGCGATACCGCGCTGGGGATCGGCGGACTTGTACTCAGCAAGGTATTCGAACTTGTCGTTCTCCAGCTCGAAGTAGCGGATGTTACCGTCACTGTATCAGGTTAGATAAGCCCCAAGTCTATCACGGAGGATCACTCACCCTCTGCCAGCCAGGTACAGCATCTGAGTGCCTTCGTCCCAGAATGGCATGCAGACACCAGAGATGGAGTCGAGAGTCTTGAACCCGTTGATAGGTTCGCGAGGAGCGCGGATATCCCACAGCGCCAGCTGGCGGTCACTCATCTTGGAAAAACCGGTTGTCGCGATCCGGTCGCGTTCACCCAGCCAGACAGAGCGACTGTTCTTGGCTCCCGAGTGTCCTTGTGTCTCGTGCGCGGGGCGCTCTTGACGAACATCCCAAATGCGAAGCTTCTTGTCTCGGGAGGTCGTGACCAGGAGGGAACCGTTTGCGCTCCAGGACTGCGATTGCACGATATCACCCAAGTTCAGGGTCAATTTGGGGGCGCCGGCCTCGATATCCCAGATCTTCACAGTGTAGTCGCCCGAAGCCGTGGCCAGGATGTTCTCGGCCGCGGGGTTGAAGAGAACGTGTCCGATCTTCCTATGATAGCGTTAGCGAGTTTGGCCCAGCGCTATAAAGGAAAGCGCAACGAGGATGCTTGAATGAGAGACATACTTGGGGTGACCGGAAAGCTTGCCAACAGGAGCCACATCTTGAATCTCATCGGGATCAACATCCGGGGAGAGTGTGAATCCCTCAGGTACACGCCAGAGCAGAACCTATCACGCGACCTGTTAGTTTGTTTGTTCGATGGGGTATCGCAAACATGATCGGATTATTGTACCCTTCCGTCGTCGGAACCAGACGCGATGAGGTCGTCGTTGAAAGGGTTCCTAGCCACGTCAGCTCACTCTTGTTCCTCCGGAACTGCGAATGCCGGCCATTGCTCACCAGTCGGTGTCCAAGACAACAGCAGTGTGACCACGGAACAGAGGCATGCGCTCGGGCAGCTTGCCCCGCTCTTCCAAGGGGATGACAGCAAAAGCACCACCGCCACCAGCCTCCCAGTTCACAGAGAGATACTTGGGGTTAACCTAGTCGCATGGTCAGATTATCCGGCGGAGGCGGCTTAGGGGCGATGGAAGCGGCCGGACCTTGACGAGGTTGGTATCCCAGGCATTTCTGGAAACGCGAAGATTATCATAGCATTGCTCCTGTTCAAGTTGTGAGGATCGATTCGGGTTGCGATAGATCAGAAGGGAGGTCGCGCACCTTTCTCGTCGGCCGTCCGAAGACGTGTCCTGCTACCTGTCAGATTGCGGGCAGTCGGAGGGGAAAGTGGAGGGAGGGGGGTAGAGGGGAAACTCACGGTACTTAGAAGAACGCACGAAACGACCAGACATGACGCTGGTGTGTCAAATGACAATTAGAATAGTATGAAGGGGGGAAGTTGAAAGGAAAAGGAAGCAAGGCAATGACAGAAGCAAGAGAACAAGAGACAATGGGGAGGAACAGAGGAGGAGTGAGAGTGGATGGTGGAACGGGGCAGGCAACTAAGCTTGTTCTTGTTCTTGGTTTGGTCGGTCTGCAAAGCAGCAGCGGCGGCGCAGCGGCTACTAGCCCGAGTTCAGTAGTGGTAGACTAGAAAGAAGGGAACAAGTGGAAACCCGCGCGGGCGGGCCAGAACTGGAGTAAATAGTCGCAGATTGACGGGTCCAGTCAAGTCAAGCACCCAAGGAAACAAATGAGAAAGGGTCTGATGGAGTATCCAGAGATGTAAACAACCGAAGCTTTCACAATAGCAATTGACTTTTGTGACTTTTGTGAACACGGACACTTGTCAGATGAAGTTGTACAAAGCCTCCCCCTCCATCGAATTGATCAACGAAGCTTAGAAAATGGTAAGAATCGAGTAAATACGAGTACGACAATCAGAGCAATACCACTAGTCTTCACCTGGCCTAGCGCGGCTTCTCTCCCCCCGCCAGTCAGCAGCTGAGTCAGCCGAATTTGTTTACCGCCCTCCCGTCGCTGGAGAAACGGCAAGTTGCAACAGAGACAAACCACCGGCTGGCCTTGGATAGCCTGTTTACTGCCGGGTTCAACTCCTCTTCATCCGAACGCCGGCCCAGCCTGCACCTTAATTACACACACCCGCCGCTCCTCCTGGCATGTTGCAGTCTCAGTCTTGTCTCCACCCATTGCGAATTGCTCTTCTTGCTTAGCTTATCCCACGCGTCTCGAGTGCGACCTTGCTTTGCGCCAGATTTTGTCCTCGTCCGCTGTCAATTTCGTCCTAAGAATTCTCTTGACCAGTTAGGGGCTCGTGGCTCCCTGCCCTCAGCATGGAGAACGATCACATGGTAATAGCAAGTGGCATTCAGTCGGCCACACAGTCAGGCTAACGCGACAGTAGATCCAGTCGAAGACGTCGTCACGAACTCGAATCCCAACAGTCGGCCTGAAGGAAATGAATCCGGCTTCAACAAACGCCCGCTCGGGGCTCGTGCAACCCGGTACTATCGCTGGCACGGTGACAAGTAAGACTTCAGGCCTGTCGCGTACGTCCCTGGAGGTTTGTTCGGGGGTGGAGGAGTTTCGACACTAACACGATCAGAACCGGGCCGTCCACGAAGCACAACCCAGTCCGCTGCAGCGCCTTCAACATCCCGTATCACCAGCAGCACAGTCAAGACGCACGGCCGTGCGAACACTTACAGCTCCAATACCCTTGGCCGCTCCGCATCTACTGTCTCAAGAACGAAATCGACCGTCTCGTCTTCCGCCGGACCCACCGCACGACCGCACACGAGTATGTCACGATCACACACGGTTACCAATTCCCGGAGACCAATGGCCAATGCCATCCCCCGCGCAGCCACGGCAATGGGCTCTCGTGAACAAGAGGACTCGGAGGGTACCATACTTGGAAAACGTAAGGGTAGGCGCGAGTTTGACTGCTTTTCATCCCCTGCTACCGTACCCCAGGCCACAAGGACTCTACCAAGCAATGAGACTTCCCGGATCTGGCCATGGACCCAGCGTGAGGACTCACCATGCTCGCCGTTGGACAGACTGGCTTTGGTTCCTGGCCCCATTAATCCCTTGGCTTCTAAACTCCCTCTTGCGCATCATGCTTCTATGAGTCAATTGCGTTATAATGCCCTGTCTTCTAGATCTCCCTTCACTACTCCCGTCAGACCAGCCCCATCTACCCCTCTTCTGTCCATTACTCGCTCTTCCCGAAAGCCATCCCGTTTGCCACAATTTCTTACCAAAGATTCAATGATCAAGTCTTTTAACTATTCTATAGGTGGCGATTGGGACCTGGATCTCCGAGAAAGGCGAATGTATGACCTTGTGCGAAGCATGGAAGAACGTGTCAGTCAACAGGGACAGTCGAGCACAGCGCTGAAAGATGCAGTGGATTTATACAAGTCTAGAGGTAAGTGAGAAGTGCGCGCTGATCGTGGCTCTCCGTGCTAATTTAAAAACCATTTATAGTGAGTGAGCTAGAGGCATCGTCAAAAGAACTCACAGAAACAAATGTTACCCTGCGTATCGAAATGGGTTCGATGGAAAATCGACTTGCTGGTGCGGAGAAAGCACTCAAAGACGCACAGAGAGACCATGAAATGATCGTCGACGACATCAACGCACGCCGACGTATGGAATTGGAGACAGTACGATTGGAAGGCAGAAGAGAAATGGAGACAATGCACTCGCGGCACCAAGAGGAAATTCAGGAACTCAAGCGGCGCTTTGATAACGAGATGGAGGAAGAACGAGCTGCGCGGATGCGCGAACTCAGTCAGATCACTTCGCAATCTGCACTTGACACACAGCGCACGCATGCCGAGCTGGAGAAGAAGGAACGAGATATCGCCACCCTGCAACACGACATACACGCCCTGAAGGCTGATTTGGAGCGTGAACGCAAGGCCAACCGAGACCTGAGGCACAATCTGGATGCAGCCAGCACCAACACTGTAACTATGGAGTCATCCGTGCGTGCGTTGAAAGCCCGCATCGAATTTTTGGAGTCCGGTCGCGAAGAGCAGTCCCAGGCTTTTGAGCGTCTAAACCAACAAATGATGGACGCATTGGCTGAAACGAATGCCACAAAGGAAAAGCTCCGCAAGGAAGAGACGTTGAGAAGGAAACTTCACAACCAGGTACAAGAGCTCAAAGGCAATATTCGAGTCTTCTGCCGAGTCCGCCCCTCGCTGCCCTCGGATCCTGTCAATCAAGTCGCTCAGATTCAGTTTCCGGATGACGCCGAGGATTGCAAAGAGATAGCAGTGCTGGGCCCGGAGGAGAAGAGCAGCCTTGGAGCAATCTCGAGGAAGAACAGCAACTTCTCATTCGATCGTGTATTCGGGCCGTCTACCCAGAACGCGGAGGTCTTCGATGAAATCAGCCAGCTGGTGCAGAGTGCTCTAGATGGATACAATGTGTGCATCTTCTGCTACGGCCAGACCGGCAGTGGTAAAACCTATACCATGTCATCTCTTGACGGTATGATTCCTCGGGCCGTGCATCAGATTTATGAAACGGCCACTGGCCTCGAGGAGAAAGGCTGGAGGTACACGATGGAAGGTAATTTCGTGGAGGTGTACAACGAGAACCTCAACGACTTGCTGGGCAACCCCGACGACCTGGATAGAAAGAAGCTCGAAATCCGCCATGATATGCAGAGGGGCAAGACCATCATAACCGATGCTACCACTGTCCGCCTAGAATCGCCTGAGATGGTTGAGACCATCCTCAAGAGGGCCGCCTCCAACCGCTCCGTTGCAGCAACCAAAGCCAACGAGAGGTCTTCTCGGTCTCACTCGGTCTTTATTCTCAAGCTCATCGGTGAGAACGATATTACGGGTGAGCGCAGCGAGGGCACTCTCAACCTCGTCGATCTCGCTGGTAGTGAGCGCCTTAGCCACAGTGGTGCAACTGGCGAGCGGTTGCGCGAGACACAGAATATCAATCGCAGTCTGAGCTGCTTGGGCGATGTGATCGCTGCTCTGGGACAGGGCAAGGAGGGTGGACATATTCCCTACCGCAACAGCAAGGTACGCCGCGCACATGATTCTTTTGATGTTGCATCAGTCAGCTAACAACCACCTAACAGTTAACCTACCTCCTCCAATTCTCCCTCGGCGGCAACTCGAAGACCCTGATGTTCGTCATGGTCAGCCCGCTGCAAGCCCACCTGTCCGAGACCTTGACCAGCCTCAAATTCGCTACCAAAGTACATAATACGCACATCGGGACGGCGAAGCGGCAGACGCGGATTCGCGAGTGCTGACTGCGGAGAAACTTTTGTGGATTGAATGATACCTTTTGAGTTCCTTTCTGTTTGTCTGTTGTGCTTTTACAATGTGGGATGTTGGCCTTCATGAACCAGGCCTTGGCAGCGGAGTCTTGGAGTATGCTTTCTTCTGTGAATAGGGTAATGGACAATATCAGCTTTGTTGCTTTTCATCGGTCTGAGAATATACTATTTGTTTGTGTATAAAGTGGTGTTCTGTAGCTTGGCCATGGCGGGCTTACAGCACCCGTTATATATTCAACCACAAAGCCTCTGCTCGGGCTGGGTTGCTTCTTGTTTCGCTGTGATAGAAGGTGAGATCAATCCAGCTTCTGAGATTCTCTGAGATAAGACATGTTACAATGCAAGTTTCTTATGAACTAACCTTCAAAAGACAGTCCTTTCTGGATTTCCCAGAAGCCGATAAGACGGACAGCTGCAAAGCGGGAAGAGATGGCAGAAATGCCGCATTCGATGGGCTCACTCGCGGCTCGGGCATACTGGAAGAGCTACCACACACCAACTACCTAACTATATCTGCACATTTGTCCGGATGCTTCAATGCCACTATCTTGAAATACTTTCTAAGATCATTTTGTCTCATTTGCGTGGTCCCACTGTATGGATTCCTTCACAAACGAAAGGCGGAACATTACAAAGACGGACTAGAAATGCTCCATGGTTCCTGCTAAGCGAGAAAGCGCTCCTGTTCGCCTGCCTGGCGCTCACCCCTCCTCACTGTCATCTCATCTAGCCAATATACATACTACTCGTTGATAGGACCCGAGTCCCATGGTGAACGCATTTTGCTCATAGACACACAGTCTCATCATTTACGTTCTCGCGGATGGATGTCCCTCGTCTCCTGCCAAGTGATCTCGCGCTGTACTCGGATTGTATTCAGCGGCACCTCATCCCCGTAAGCGTCATCCCGCTGGCTTACATCCATCAACACGAGCTGCCTGGATAGGTGCTCGCCAGGCGGCCGCAATGTGGGGTTGAGGGCATCTAAGCTCTGGAGCTCGGAGTCCTTGATGCCATTCTCGACCGATCGTCCGCGCGAGCCTCCTCCCACGCTGCTGGCGAATTTGGACGAGAGCGCCACGAACAGCGGTCGCAGGGTCGGGAGACAGGCGGAGATGATCCCACTTGCGCACTCGATGAGACACCATGTGTTGGCCGTGGCAAGTGTCCAGGGGGTGTCGGCTGGTTCGAACTGGAAGAGCGTGGAGAAGCGGTAGGCGCTGGTGAACACGACGCTGTGGTGTACATGTGTCAGTTCTTGGACAGCTACTAACTCGATACTCTGAGGCGCTAAGACGGCGCGAACTTGACAGCGTTCGGCGCGGAGTAGATAAAGAGGAGATACGGCGGAGCAGACGGAAGGGAGAAACGCACAAACTGCCCAGCAGGAATACGGCGATCACCGACAGTCGATGCGTGAGGGAGGCGTGCAGACCCCAGACTACACGCACTGGTAATGAGAGGATCGCCACATCAGTCACAATGTTCGGGACTGCGTTGCCGATGAACGATCCCTTTAGGTTGATGCAGCTGCCTGGGAGCCGCTGGTCCCAGGCCTTCGCGATCGGAGCGCACTGGAACACGCTCACACAGATGATTGCCATGACCCAGCAGACTGCGATGCTGCCGAGGACGAGAGAGGCGATGCGAAAGTTCCGCGTTGGAAAGATCCGCGCGTACATGAGGAGGATGGAGACCTTGATGATGCCCACGGTTGTGCAATAGACGCATTCGTAAACCACGAGCAGCTGTGGGTGCATCAGTTATTGCATAGCTGGGCTCTGGTGGCATGTCCATGGCGTGGCTGGATCACACCTTGGAGATCTTCATGACGTTCTCGGTCGGCAGGGCGTCTGCGTGTCGGCCCATTCCATAGTGAATCACTGACAATCATCAGGCAAGAGGAAGCATTGGAGCCCTGAGCTGTGGAGTTCTTACTGGCCAAATTGAGACCGCAGATTGCGCAGAGAAATACCTACACTCGGCGAGCCAGAGCCAAGTTAGTGGTGGAGTGATAAGTTCGAAGCATTCGAGTTCGAATTCACCATAGACAACAGTATGGTATAATCGTCCGGTCCAACCGATAAGCCCTTCTTCCACCGCGCTAGAAGTCGCAAGATCACGAAGAGCAAGCCTAGGGCGGTCATGAAAATGCAAAGCACTCGGTTTTCATGCTGGCGGTTCTCGTTGATATCCATCGTCGATGCCATTGCTGTCCACAGACTTGCCCAACGGCTCGAACAAGCTCAATTCAATCATGGCTGATGCTTTAAAGAAGCGGGAAATGTCCAGAATAAGGGAATAGGGGCCTATAGTCTCGAAAGTTCCTTTGTGCTCTTAGGTGCTTCTGGCAGGGGAGTACAGTGCATTCCCAAGTCACTGTCAGCCAGTACTTCTGTTTGCCTAGTGGCCACCAACAACACAGGGTGTCATGGTGGGCGGCGGACAACATCCGTTCCGCGACCAGTCCTTCGCTAGACCCCAGTCAGTTTAGATGGACCACTATAGTCCTAGTACGGGACCTCCAAGATGGTGCGACTGCCGATTGTACATCGTGTCTCGGCGACAGGCCCGCCTGTGGGTCTGACAGCGGCCGTTAGCCTACCGTCCGGGGGGAAACTGCGGCCTATCTTTGGACAACAATCTAAACAATTTAAATGAACGCCATACAATCTCCGCTTTCCCCCTCCCTCCCATTTGGCCGAGACCCGATGTCTCCATAGTCAGTCTTCGCTCTTCGCTATAAGTACACTGTCCAGGCCCGCAGGAAGGGCCAGAGAATCAAAGAATGATCCAAAAGTGATAAAAGCATCCGAATATCCACAATCACAATGACCGCCCAAACAAAGGCCATCTTCGTCTTCGTGCCCGGTGCATGGCACACCCCAGATACCTTCGACATCATCCGCGCTGTATTACGGCAGCGAGGGTACGAGTCCGAGGCCGTTGCGAACCAGTCCGTCGGCGCGGCCGATCCATCAGTCGGTCTCCATGCCGACATCGCCCACACCAGGAGGGTCCTCCGGGGTCTAGCCGACCAGGGACGTCCGATCGTGGTGGTCGCCCATTCCTATGGCGGGATCGTCGCCGCGGGCGCCGTCGAGGGTCTCGGCTACGCGCCTCGGGCCCGCGCAGGTCAACCCGGGGGCGTGATCCAGGTGGTATGGATGGCGGCCTTCGTCGCGCCTGAGGGCAAGTCCCTCTTCGAGATGCTGGGTGGGAAGTGGGAGCCTTGGATGGGTTTCACAGTAAGTGGCCCCCTTCCACTTATCGCAAACGTTCTGTTGCATAAACAACACCCGTCGGTTAACACTCGTCCACCAACAATGCAGACCCCCGACGACGGATACGTCTACACCACCCAGCCCGAGAGGATCTTCTACCACGACATGACCCCGGACGCCCAGCGCCACGCCATCGCCAACCTGCACCGCCACCCCAAGCCCTCCTTCCTCGAGCCAGCCCTCCACGAACCCTGGCGCGAGATCCCCGCCTTCTACCTCTTCTGCGACCAGGACCAGGCGCTGCCCCTGGCCGCGCAGGAGGCCTTCGCCCACACCCTGGGCAACCCCGGCCGCTATCACGTGGACGCATCGCACTCGGCGTTTCTGAGTGTGCCGGAGCGTGTGGCCGACGGGCTGGTGCTTGCGCTGCAAGAGGGGTTAGAGAAGACTGGTGCTGGCGCTGGCGCTGGCGCTCCTGGTGTGACTAACCGCGCTAGTCAGTTATGAGCTAGATAGTATAGTGGTTTCCGACCAGGGTGGAGGGATATAACTTATATCCTGGTAAGATACCTATAGTGCCACTAGTCCATGCAAGGGTAGGGCTATTGACAGGGGCGAGTGGGCCAATCATTTTGGGTTACTATAGATAGTGCCACCGGTTTCTTTGTCTCTTACTCCAGCATTGTCCCGCCGTAATTTTGGGGCTGACCCTATCAGATCCCAGCGGGATATCTCGGCTGTTGTTTGGGGGAAACAATGTTGTAGCTTTTAAATGAAGTTGTGCAGGGGGTGAAAATGACTCGAGCGGGGATGGACTTATAGCCTGGAATTGTTGTATTGCATTAGAATCGATACCAGAATGATTGCACTATGTGAACAGAAGGTAATTTTCCTGAAATCCCTAACAATGTATCCTTATGCGCTAAGGTGAAAGGCCAGAATTGGCCCGAATGGTATGGTGTAGTCTTGTTGCATGACCCCACATCTCTGGTAGAAGAAAAGAAGGAAAGAAACGGGTAGGAAAGTGGGCAGAATACAAGAGCTGAAGAGTGTCTTCTCCCAATGCAAACCAGGGCCGGTGTCTCTATTCATTGAGCCGAGCTCTCGCCCTATAAGTCAAGGAAGAACTTGTCGACCTTGTTCCCGAGCTGTTCGGACTTCTCGCGGATGCGGCCCTCGTCCATGACGCCCTCTTCGCTGACGAAGGCGTCGACCATGTGCAGGGGCACCCATTCGAAGTAGATGTTTTCCACGTCGACGGTGGCAGCGGAGTTGCTCTTGTCGTGTTTTCTGGAGCTGCCAGGGCCAGTCGCGGCTTTCATGCCCTCCTCCAACACGCCGACGCCCTTGACGCCGTCGCTGCGCCAGGTGGTCATGACCTCGAGCGGGGAGTTGTCCTCGTGCTTGTCGTCGTCGATGACGCTGGGGGCGCCGTTGATCTTCTCGAGGTCGCTGAGGACGACGATCTGGGCGTCCGGGCTGACGTGCCGCGTGCACAGGGCGGCGGGCAGCGAGCCGGTCTTGTTGCTGACCCCCCGCGTGGCGGACAGGCGGTCCGCCCCGAGCAGAAGCAGATCCACCCCGGCGGCGGCGATGGCGGCCGACGCGTCCGTGTACACCTTGACCCGCAGGTTCTTGTGGGGGGTGTCCGCGAACCGTGACTTGAAGTTGGAAATCAGCGACGAGGCGATGCTGGCGCCCTCAAAGAGGGGCCGGGATTCCAGCACCCGCAGCTCCAACAGGTGGATGTCCAGCGAGGCGTACGCGTCCAGGATGCTGTCGCGGATCGTCGAGCTCGCCGACACCGTCAGGATCGTGAGCTTGTCCCGCGGCTCGCCGTGGTGCAGGAAGTGGTACCGGATGTAGTGGGTGAAGGCGTCTTTGACCTGCGTTGCCCGACTCTTGCGACTGGCGAGGTGGTGGTCCAGCACCGCGAGCATGCGCTCCCACTTTTGCTCGTCGGAGTGATTGTTGTTACGGCCAGGGCTGTGGTTGTGGTTTTCGTCGTGGTGGAGGATATCGTCGAGTTCGGCGAGCACGGCGACGAGCGCGTTCATCGTCGCGGCGCCCATGCTCTCCCGTCCGTTCTTGATCATGTGCCACGCCGCCATGCGCACGTTGGCCCACCATTGGGCGTCCATCCCGTTCTGGGTCTGGACGAGGAAGTCGCGGAAGATCATCAGCGCGATGGTCGTGAGCTCTTGCGAGCCGCTTTCGTGGTCGTTGCGGAGACGCTCCAGCCCCGTGGCGAGGATCGTGCCGGCGCGTTCACTGCGGAGATCGCCTTCGAACCACACGCGGCGGAAACTGTCCTTAAGTCGAGGCACGGTGGGCGAGAGCTCTTCATCGAGGATCGCGGATGGCGGGTGCCATTCCCAGCCTGTATGCTCCCAGTCGATCTTGAAGGACGGCTCTTCTTCATTGGCTGTCGATTCTTTAGGCGTGTTTGCGTTGAATAAGAAGGCGAATGGATGAACAGTCCACTCGCGTCCGGCCGATGGATCACTGAATGTGAATGGCTTTCCGGTGCGCCAATGCGTGAGGTTAGAGGAAGTGAGTCCTGTTTCTTCGGAGAGTTCGCGCCAGGCGGTCGCGAGCGGGTCGCGGTCGTCTGACGATATGCTGCCGGATATTGGGGCAAGGTGGCCACTGATTTGACTCTTAGATGTGCACTTCTACCCAAGGCGATCAGGAGACAAACCGATATGTTCTCACTTTGTCGCTGCGTTTGAACAGCGCCACGAGCGGTTTCCCATCCTTAAAATTGAAGATGAAGGATGAGACGACGGCGCGCTTTTCGAGAGGCTGAGATTGAGATTGGTCGCCGGGAGGTTGGTGGGACGGTGGTGGGGATGCTGTCATTGTGTTGAGGATAACGTGGATAAACTTATAGTCGAACGTAGTATAGAAATGTTGGGTGTACACTCATGAAAGCGGGTTTGGGTCTGACTCTGTAGATAAGAGAGAGAGTGCGGGCGCGGGAAACACCCCCCGTCGAATTGCTGCCAAAGTTCACTCCGTTGGGTTGACGGAATCAAGTGGAGTAGAGCCAGAGAGCCGAGAGGCAAGAAACAGAGGTATAAATCCCCACGCGAACAGTCGGATGATCGCGGGCGTTTGGTGTGTCATAGTCACATCACGCCACGGGAGGGGGGGCGAGAACAAACGAACGACTGTGCATAAAGAAAGACGAGAAACGCAGCTTCCCGAGTGTGACAGAAAGCTAGGACCACGCCATTGAGCAGTATGTACAAGTACAAAGCGACAGGCTCCAGTTCGACGGGGCTGATGCGGGGAGTGACAAGAGCAGGAGGAAGAGGAGGAGGAGGTGGTGGTGGTGGTGGTGGGAGGGAGAATGGCTGGCGGCGATGGACAACAACAGCGGCTGCTGCTGCTGCTGCTGCTGCTGCTGCTGCTGCACATGACGTCAACATTCGGCAAGCAGCCCGGCCTCGCGCTGTATACAACAAGTTCATGTTCATGATCAAGAACAACAACCACAGCCACTTTCCCTCCACCACCTATACTTTAAACACTACAAGACACTGGCAAGGACAACGACCACACTTCCCTTCCATTCATACCTCGCAATTCCACAGCTCAGCCGCCAGAATGCCCACCTATCCCGGCTCCTGCTACTGCCGCAACATCACCTATGACCTCTCGCTCTCCTCCCCGGACGACGCCCGCACATCCCTCTGCCATTGCAGCAGCTGCAAGGTTCGAGCTCCTCTATTTCTCTTATTCCTCCAACCTTGTCCCCCAAGGTCCCTACCCTCTCCCGCAAACCCAAGGGCTAACACCCACGGCGATGGGGCCATGGTGCTCATCACAGAAAGCATTCGGCACCAACTACGGCCTAACAGCCAAGGTTTCCAAGGACGCGCTCACGCTAAAATCCGGCCAACCGAAGGAATTTGTCGGGGACAATGGCTCGGGATCGACCATCCATCGGGAGTTCTGCGGGGATTGTGGAAGCTTTATTCTCGAATATGGGGTACGTTCCTCGCGTCCACTAATTGCTGGGATCTGTCTGGGCTACGCATGCTAATGTTTCTGGGGAATGGCTAGGATGCGGTGAAGAATGATTTCCGTTATATCTGCGTGGGGACGTTGGATGACCCCGAGGTTCTGCCGCCGAAGGGGGAGTTCTTCTGTGAGAGTCGAGCGAATTGGATGCCGGAGATTCCTGGTGAGTTGCGGGTATACCCCCTTCTGGGATGTGATGTGGGAGAGAGGCTGATTTAGTAGATGTTTTTCATAAGCAGAAGATCAAGGAGTAATGTCGGGTTACGGTCTAGGATATAATTGTTTCTTGATGGGGGTGCGTGTATTTTATAGCCTTCAGAGAGAACTGTGAATTATTTGCGAACTGCTATGCATTTTCTATTATACTTTGCACCGCCAAATCGGGAGTAATCAGCTTGTCCTGAATGATCAGAGCATTGAGATAGTCGTTGCTGTCCACCCGATGGAGCCCCGCGTCGAGAGTGGCCTCAATCCCGGCCTGAACGTGCCGCTTGGCGACACGCCGGCGGGCCTCTTGTAGGTCTGTGTCAACAAAGATCCGATAATCAACTAGCTGCGCGACATCGCGCCATATTTGTTCGTTCAGCAGGCAATAGTTGCCTTCGATGATGACGACGGACGTGTCCGGGGTGATGACAACGCCGTCCTCCACGGGGTCTTTCGCCTCGTGGTCGAAGGAGGGCGCATGGATGGTTTGCAGTTCGACACTTAGGTCAGCTTGAGGGTCTAGGTCTGCCCACTGGCGTAGCTGTCGGACAACGGCAACGAAACGGGATGCATCGAACGTCCAGGGCGCACCGCGACGGAGATAAGCCTCTTCTCGGTTGGGGAGCATGTCTAGGCCAGCCCGCGAGAGATGGAAGCCGTCCATGGACAGAAGCGCCGTGGCCAGAGCGGGAGAAGTAGATCGCAGAAGCTGAGCGACTGCCGCTGCAGTGGTTGTTTTTCCCGAGCCCGGGATGCCAGCGATAGCTACGAGGAGCCTTTTCCTGTGGTGAGCGCGGGCTTTCTGGCGGATGATGTCCGCAATCTTTGCATATTTGGCTTCCATCTAGGCCAGAATTTCAGTTTTTATCTGATGAGGAGGATGATAGAGGCCGGATGGGGTGATTTCCATACGTCTGTCCAACCAAGTGGTTCGCAAGCAACACCTGGGAATGCAGAGAAGACACTGACTGCCCTCCTGAGAGCCACCGACATACTGCACGCAGTTTGCTCGATAGTCATTTTGAACCGTGAGGAGGGGTATCGGTTCACAGTGCTCCGATATTGAGGGTGACTCGTGCGTGGCGACATGGCTGGGCTGGGCTCAGCCATTTCAAACTCCTCTTTCCTTGAATGTATGCTTTGTTTAAGCAACTATACATTGAAGCAAAATCATGTTCACAGCATATCGATCCACCCGAATCCCGCAGAGTTGAGGTCGAACTCGGGAAATTACAAGCTGCAGCGTGTCCCATGTTTTCTTGTCGTGTGCGGGAAACCACCGTCTTTCCTCAGGCTGCCGTGAACGGCATGTAGTCATCGGTCCCTGATTAAGGTTCTTGCAATCGCGGGGTTGGATCCACGACTTGGCTCCGTTTCGTCGATCTGGTGGACTTTCTGGTGGATTTCCGGGTCGGGGCTACATAGAAACAGAGGATCTGTTGATCTAAACAATGCGAACAGCGGGGGCGCACTTGGTCGCACGGCACGCCCCAGGCCTTGCAGGCCTTGCAGGGCTGGCACGGTTGGTCTTGCTGCGGGGGGGCGTGGACTGGCTGTTCAGGCGCAGGGAGTGTATAGACGGGGGCTTTTGTGGTCGAACATGTGTAGTTCGTGGGTTTCGTGCGATCGGTGCATTCGACGGGACGCGCCGAAGTCTGGGGGCTGTCGATCATCCACACCGACCACAGCCACTGGGAGAAGCGCTTGAGAACGCATGCTCGTCCGATGCGATTCTTGCGTGCGAGATCGCACCTCAGGTGGTTCTGGAGACGCGTGATGGCGGTGTCGGTCATGATGGCTGCTGGCTCGGGGGTTCTGTGATCATTCGATTCTTGTAGGTAGGTAGGTAGGTAGGTAGGTAGGTAGGTTTCGCTGGCGAAAGTCGGGTAATTTATGGCACCGTTGGCAGAACCACGAGAGTGACAAGTGTCAGAGTCAGACAACTGTCAGACCATCGCATGGGAGACGGGGATTTTTTATGGACCACGGATACCCAGTAGTAAGTAATGAATCAAGGGGTTGTTGTCATTGCTGGAGAGGTGGACATTCCCTCCGCTCCGCCCTGGCCGATTACTCCAACTCACGAGCACGGGCTCTTTCAATCCTCCTCCATTCCATGGGTTTGGAACGATGATTGGAGTGTGAGCCTTGGGATCGACCTGACGTCAGGCTCGAGCGGGCGGGGGACGAACAAATAAAACGGTGTCTTTGTCTGTTGGGAATCCGCCGAAGTGACCGAAGTGACACGAGCGGAACCGGTTACTATTTCCTGGTCCTGTTCCTTCCGGGCAGTGCCTTGGTTTGAGGTTTGATGCATGGCACCATGTAATTATGAATGACTCGATTATTGACCGAGATATCCGTCCGGGGTTGACTGTAGACTGAGTCTCCCCTTGATATTTTCCCGAACTTGTAAGTACTCCGCACTGTACTCCGTACTTGGAGGTTAGGGCAGGACAAGGGGCACGGGCAATAGCAGTGTGTTCAGGCATCGGTGTGTTTTACCCCACCTGCACTTGTCCCTCTCTTCTTTCTTCTCCTGGACGATCCATTCATTTCATTCATTGATAGAATACCACATCCGCCAAAACTGTCGAGGCAACCACTAACCCACTAACAAGTGGACCACGTCTGACAGCGATCTGCAACACCACTCGCATCCACTCCGCCCGTACCGTACCTGTATACCTGTATGATACCTCACATTGCCAAGCGATCGACCAGAATCATCTGACCCTCGACCCAGAAACACAGTTGACTCATCCAGTCGCACGATCAACAATCGATTACCACTAGAGTAATCCATCTCGGCAACACCCGAGCATCGATTTTGTTCCACTGCGACCGGGAGGGAGATCTTTCCATCGAGCAGGGCACTCGATCCTGGTTTTCGCATGCTTGATCCCTCAGACTTATCCCACTCTTCAACTCAGAGATTTCCCAAGTCCAGTCTTTTGTGCTAGAAGTACTCCCGAGAGATCCCTATTTTCGACAGGCAGAAATGCAGGCCGGGTTCGAATTTTCCGATGTGATTCCGTGGACGCAAGAAGCAAGGAGCTTCTGTCAAAAGCTTAAAAGCCAGTAGCAAACATGGATGGCGGCAGCCTCTTGCAGCTACAGACATTCTTCCCCTCCTTCAATCCCCTCCCTCATGCCTGATTGAGTTTTTCCCTCGGTCGAGTTGTCTCCATGGTGGATGACTTGTCAGCTCGCCTGCAGCGCACCGACTACCCGCAGCACCGTTCCGGTAAAAGCGGCTCAGGCTGCTCGCGTGTCTTCTGCCGAGTTTCGGCCTTGCCTGCATCGTCCCCTGAGCAGCCAACAGCCCAAAAGGAACACTTAAAGATGCCATGCGCCTACGATGACTGCGAATTGTCCGCACAGTCAACAACTCAGACAAGCTTAGAGAGGGGGTCCGCAGATCGAACACTATCCTGAATGGCAAGATCTGCCCCCTTGACCCCTTCCTAACTGTGCGTACACATTGCTCGTGCCCAATACAAATTTATCGCCAATTGAGAAAGAAGCCTTTGCATCCAGCGGTCGACCATCCGTCGCAGTCATGCACGCTTCCGAACCGAAAGAAGAAGTCAGTCCTGCTCTGGGCCAACCCGACCAGGAGCCAACCCAGGGACACGGTCGCAAACGCTCTGCGAGAAGGCGCCTGGGCCGCAAGTCTGCTGAGGCTCACGACTCCTTCACTTTGATGGATACCATCGGTTATCTGCTGTCAACTCCAGATAGCACCATGATAGCCTTCCACTGGGGTGGGTGTGCTGCGACTCTGAGAGAATTGGGTATTTGACTGACCACGAAGTCCACAGGCGGCCCGAGCCTTTCTGCAACTTAGAGGCAGCATTCATCATGGAGGATACGAAGCCCTGGGGGCCCAACACGCCGTTCCATTTACCTTGGGGTCCCGTGGTCTCCAGATTGGAAACTTGTGGAAGCCTCACCACACCAGAGATCAGGAAAACTAGAGCCACGTTAACGCGAAGTCTTGTTTCTGGTTTCATCTGTTGATGAGCATGTGATACAGCGGGTTGCATCTTTGGTCTTGTGGCTGGTGGCTGAGCTTTGAATATTTGTGGTGGCGGCGAATTGTCCAATGTGTCTGTCGATATAACATCCCCGGCTATTATACGCCATCAATCAATTTGTGAGAAAAAGGGCTTGTCGGTCTTCCAACCAAGGCCACACGTTTCTCTTTCCTGAGGCGAGAGTGTTGCTTGAGCTGGTGGTCTAGACCTCCCACCGTCCAAATGAACCTGCTTCATTGCGTTTTAGCATTTCATGTTGATGTCAAGGACTTATGTTCTTAGACGGGCATCTCGACAGTGGACAAGACCTTTATAAATGGACAATCCCGCGAGAGCAGAGACGTATCGCTCCTCTGGCTAGGAACCGACGTCCCTTTAACTTCCAGTGCCTTCAACTTCTTCTATGCCACCTGCCCTGCCCTTGACCTCTCTCACTGTGTGGCAACTCGAACCCCTCTGAGCCCAGCACAAAATGTCCGGACAGATCGAAAACATTCCCCTGCACACCCGCGAGCCCGGTGACGAGATCACCGAGGCTGACCTGGCCAAGCTGTTGGAGGCCACTGACCCTCTTACCACCTCTGCTACCGTGGCTGCTGCTGCGGCGGCGGCGGCAGCTACCCAAGGAACTACTGTTACCTGTACGTGATGACCTTTTTCTGACCCTGCCAAACGTGCATTTCGTTCATTGCCGGTGTCAGTTAACCTCGAAGACTTGTTCGTTGAATATGCGTACGATGAGGAGGATGAGGACGAGGAAGACGCGGAGGACGATGATGGTGCTGATGAGATTTACTACAACGAGGCTATGGATGGCTGGCTCGGTCCTTGGTGGGCGAGTGTCTAGGTAGGGTGTAAGGATGGGATCTCGATTTGCGAGTGGGGTAGAGATCGGTTCGATTCAATCAATCGATCGGGAACTGATCGAGGGCTCCTTCGGTGTCTTGCGTGTTTTGCCCATAGTGTGCGTGAAATACTTTACATTGTATTCTGTTCTAGCTTGGGGTTCGGGAGAAAAGTCACGGAGCGTTTCAGACTATGTTGTTATGATATACCTAAGATCCGCATAAAGCAAGAAAATCTTCATCTGTTTCGTTTGTCTAGCCTATCCAACGGTAAGATACGCAAGACTAGATAGTAGGATGTAGGATACAGCCCGGGAGTAGGGTTCAGTTCTTCCCCTTCCACGCATCAACCAGAAACTCCTTCACCTTGACCGGCTTGATCTCGGGGAATCGCGCATTCAGCCGCCCTTCCACGGGCAGATCGAAGACCCCCGCGATGGTGAGCCGACTGACCAGCACGGTCACCTCGTGGGCTTCCGCCTCGGTGCAGCCCTCTGGGACGGCAGGGACGGTGACCTGCCCTTGGTTGATCTCCTCGGGGCTGTCGTATACAACGGAGAATTTTCGACCTGGATGTGGAAAGTCTGGTTAGAATCGACCCTGGTCTCGTTCGCATGCTTTCTGACGGTGTCTTCCGTTCCTTTCCCTCTTGCTTCACCATTGACCCCCGACTTTAACCCCCCCCCCTCTCTCTTAGACTCCTACGCAAGAATATTCAGAATCACGAACCTCTGATATCCTCCACCAACCCCAGCAACTCATTATAAGTAACCACATCCCCCACCACAACACTAAACTCCGGCCACTCGGCGGCATCCACCTCCTCCAGCAACCGGACCACAAACCGCGCCATGTCGTACGTATACGTCATGCACAACCGGTCGTTCCCGTCGCCGGGAATCGCCGCCCGGCCGTTCGGGACGTCAATTCCAAACACCCCCGGCTGCAGGTGCGTGCGTACGTGCGGCATCCCCCAGTAATCCATGAAGAAGCCGGGAATGACCCGGGTGAAGTTTAGGGATGGGGCGTCGTGGTGCAGTTTGTTGGCGGCTGCGAGCCAGTGTTTTATGCTGGGGTCGATTTCGAGGAGGCTGTTGATGTTTATCAGCACAGCATTGGGTTGGGCGGGAGGGAAGCTGAGGAAAGGGGCAGGAGGGTAGGGTAGGGAGATTACTCGGCCGTCTGGATGAAAGAGTACTCGCTTGGGAGGAAGCGGGTGACGGTGGGGGACTGCTCGGCGGCGTCGATGAGGTTCAGTTGCGCTTGGCTGGTGGCGTCGGTGGTGATGCCGATGGCTGAGATGATGGTTGTGATTCCCTCCGTGGTGAGGAGGTCCGTGAGGGCGGGGATGTCGTCGTAGTCGATTTGGAGGTGCTGGGCTCGTGAGGTGGGGGGGTCTTGGGGGGTCTGCATGAGGGTAAGCTTTGGGGACTGGGGCCCTGGGGATTATGGATTTTGAGGCTGAGGACAAATTACGCACGCTGCGGGTTAGGATGATGATCTTGTGGGTGGTTTCTTCGAGGAGGGTCTCGACGATGGTTCTGCCTACGCCGCCGGTGCCGCCTGCTACTGCTATGACTGTCATTTTGGTTGGTGGGGGCTGGGTGTATGTTCTGGGGTGTATTGGGGAGGTTAGGCTTGAGGTTGATATATGCGTGTAGTGGAGGAGGACGATGATGAATGGTCTGGATCCGGTGGCCCCGGGCCGCTGGAGATCGGGGATCCACTTGCCCCTGTCCGCGGTCGTGGCTCTGGCGTTTACCTTGCCGGTCGCTGGTGTACTGTATGTACCGTGATTCGAGAGTCTAGGTTGTCGAAGCAGATATGCTTTGTACGAAGTGTTATGTTGATGTTGGCCATCAGCGCGGACTAGAATTACATGTCTGAGAGGGCAATCAGCGGGATACTGTAATCTCAAGCTGATCATCCGCCACATGCAACGGTAAAATCAATGGGCATAAGTGCGTGCTTTTTCAGTTTAATGATCCACAATAAAGTCTTGGCTTGGTATAAGGTTTCATTGTCAATTCTTTCTTAATTCTGTATCATTTTCTATTTTCAGACATGCGCAAAACACATATTGCAGGGTGCAGGGTGATTTGGATTCTTTTTTTTTTGCATCTGTGTAATTTTCCTGACCTGAAACCAAAATCTACCCACTTCTCTCACCAATTCCTCGATGGTCTAACGGTCATGATTTCCGCTTGTCAATCCTGAACAGGAACAAGCGCGGGAGACCTGGGTTCGACTCCCAGTCGGGGAGACCTCTTTTTGCGTCATGCTTTTTACTGTTCCCGCATCATGATGATCTTTGATCTCGTCTCTCGCCACGTGCGGTAGATTACAGCTTTGAAGTTTAACTGATCTCCAGCAATTGCAGTCCTTGACACGATACAAGGCAGCAAAAAAGTCTTGAGTCCCGTAGAGTCGATTTGCGATCTGAACCTTTTTTATGCAGTACGCTCCAGTACAGTAAATCTCTCTGTCAATCACGCCATTGATAGCCCCACCTTTCGGTATCAAACTCCAGAACCATGCCATTGAAAGCCAAAGAACGTAGTCTAGTTCAACAGACAAAAAGTAAACAGCTCCCTTCTGTGGTGGGGTTCTCGTACCACAATTATGTAACATCGGACCGGGACTGACCAGTACCTGCCTTAGTGAGTCACGGGCGAGGGGCACGTCATTAAATTTCGTCTTATCCTCCCCACGATCCAACCCCGACATCTCCAACAACACCACCAATCCACACAATCACTGCCATCATGAGAAGAGAAGACATCACCTACATGGGTGCCGGCCCCGCCGCCCTCCCGACCGACGTTCTCACCACCGCCGCTGAGGCTTTGTTGAACTACCAAGACACTGGCTTGTGAGGCGCTCCGATCCCGGCGATCTTATCGCCAATCCGTGCAACCATTTTTTTCTCTGACAGCTCAATTCTATAGGGGTGTAGCAGAGCACAGCCACCGCAGCGAGCTGGCCTCGAATATCCTGAACACTGCCAAGGCTGACCTCGCCAACTTCCTCGACATCCCTTCCTCCTACGAAATCCTGTTCATGCAAGGTATTTGCGGCACTCCTTCGTCATTGCGGCTACGGCTCGGTCGTCTGACTCGTCCATTGCAGGTGGTGGCTCCGGCCAATTCGGCGCAGTCGTCTATAATATCGTGTCTGTTTGGGTCGAGAAGCAAAGACAGAAGATCGTGAAGGAACACCCCGAGATCAGCGAGGAGGACGCGCTGAAGGAGGTTCTCAAGAAGGTCGAATCCGAATTGCGGTTGGACTACCTTGTGACTGGATCGTGAGTGTCCCGACCGATCAATTACGGCGCTGTTGGACTAATGGCCTGCGCAGATGGTCATTGAAGGCCAGCCAAGAAGCTGCCCGCCTCCTCGGACCCGAGTATGTCAATGTCGTCAGTGACTCGAGAACGATCAACGATGGGAAGTTCGGCAAGATCGCGGACGAATCCACCTGGTCGTTGAGCCCCAGGGCTGCTATGGTGTACATGTGCGACAATGAGGTAGGCACCCGGTGCTCCGACCGTGGTTGAAGCACTGCTAAAATGTGTGCTTTGTAGACTGTCGATGGTGTCGAATTCCCTGGCTTCCCCAAGGTGCTGGAGCCCAAGGGCACAGACAACGACCCCATTGTCATCGGTGATTTTTCGTCGAACATCCTCTCCAGACGCATTCCTGTCGAGGTAAGGATGACCTGAAATGTCATTTTAGCATGCGCTAACTCAGAACAGAACTACTCCGTCATCTTCTTCGGAGCGTAAGGACAGATCCATACCATCCCCTCAATCATGGTACTAACCCCCAAAAGTCAGAAGAACCTCGGTACGCCTGGAGTTACTGGAGTGATCATCAAGAAGGACCTCCTGCCCCCGGTCTCTCCTCCCGCCTCTCCCGCTATCCTGCGCAAGCTCGGTCTGCCCATTGCGCCCACCATCCTCGACTACTCCGTCATCGCCAAGAACAACAGTCTCTACAACACTCTGCCCATTTTCGAGTATGCAACGTGAAGCTCTTTCAATTCTGCGTGGCTAATGTCATCTAGTGTCTACATCGCCGGTCAGGTGTTGAAGAAGCTCCTTGCCGAGTTCCCCAACAAGGTTGATGGACAGCAGGCCGTTGCCGAGAAGAAGGCGAACCTTATCTACCAGACTCTCGACGCATACCCTGATGTCTACCGCGTTGTCCCGGACAAGAGCGTCCGCTCGCGGATGAATGTCTGCTTCCGTGTGACCAAGGTATGTCTACCGCAGACACGAAGCTGCACGCGAAATGCACTAACCCGAGCAGGGTGGCAACGTCGACGAGTCGGAGAAGTCTTTCTTGAAGGGCGCTGTTGAGCGTGGCGTTACCGGTCTCAAGGGCCACAGAAGCGTCGGAGGTAAGTTTAGTTGTTGGTTGGCATAGCTCATGATGGTGTCTAATGAGACGTCTAGGTATCCGCGCCTCCAACTACAACGCGATCCCCGAGTCCGGCGTCGAGAAGCTTGTTGCCTACTTGAAGGAGTTCGCTGCCTAGGAGGTCTTTGAGAGATTAAAAATGATATCTGCACATAAATAGCCATCATGTTTTGATGACTGGGCGTTTGGAGGCTAAAAGGCTAAAAGGCTATGAACAAAGACTGAGAATATATTCCCGAGCTCTTACCAGGGCTGGCTCAACCGTCAACTATCTTGTATTTCTCACGAAACGGACTGGGCTGTACAGAATCTCGTAAGACCAGAATTCAGGGAACATTAGAAGTAGCTCTACTTGTCTGCTCCTAACCATGGGGATCAGCAGATAGATCAAAATAGGCGGTGGCAGAATGGTCGCAACCTCGCTGCAGAACCCGGCGATTATGAGGCCAACAGCTGGCCAAAACGGAAGGGCGAAACTGTTAGTCTTTTCCTCACCGCCTTCTCGGGCTCGCTCTCGCGCACAACTTGGACTTAGTGACAAAGCAGGCAGAAAATACGAGCGTGTTCTCGCCTGAGGCAAACAAATGATTAGTGAACAGTTGGGGCCGAGGCGGAATTCCACGAATCCCCATCCCGCCTCCCAACAAGACAACTTCGTTTTCTGCATAGCCAAGAGTTATGCGTGCATTAGCACAGGCCTTGGGGCGTCCAGATTATATTACCCAACCGTTGACAATCTGACCGCGCCGATAATCGCCCCGTTGGGTGGCATCCTCCTTGCTGACGATGCTGATGAATCCTCGCGCGTGGCAACCGGCTGATAGCATACAAACTTAAGTTTCCGTCTCTATAACAGCTCATCTGCGGCTTTTGATATCTTTCGACAGAGTAGCATCCTGTCACCTAAGACATAAATACCCCCCACCTATGATGCCATGGCGCATCTGAATTATGCCGCAACACAAGAAGGCGCAACGGAAACCGATGCCACTTTAGTGCCCTGGGAGACTATTCACGATCAGTTCTTTGGTTCTACCCACCCTGCGTCGGATTCCATGGCGTCACCACAGATCACCTCGCTGCTCTCAGCTTGTTCGTACCCGGTGCCCGAGTCTGCTGAATCGTTACCTGGGGACTCTACCCAGCCAATCTTATTCGGCGGCATCACGTCCGACCATGTCTTTGAGATCGATAGTACTTCAAGCACAATCGACAGCCAGCAGACGCATGCAGATCATGTTGTAGCAGAGCATCCCAAGCGCCAACGCGCCGAGGTTGAGAAGCCTGCATCGGGGGCAAGTACGACTGCTAAACGAGGCCGGCCTCGAAAAGTACTCGATGAATCCTTGGCGGAAGACCCTGAAGAGGTATGTCTTTGTTATCATCATCGCCTGACCCGACATGCAGCTGCTTAAATATTGCTCAGAGGCGACGGCGGCAGATTCGCCTTGCGCAGCGCGCCTATCGCTCGCGGAAGGAAGCGAACATGTCTTCCCTTAAGAGTCGCATCGGAGAATTAGAGTCCGTGGTCGAGCAGATGAGCTCGGCTGTACTTTCGCTCAGCGACCAGCTCGTTCAGTCCGGGGTTTTAGAGTCGAACCCTCACCTGGCCGAGCATCTGCACCATACCGTGCAGACGTGTCTTAATCTGGCGAAAGATGCCAACAAGGACGGAGCAGACTCGACAGCCCTGGTGCCCTCGTCGGCATCCTCGAGAACTAGTTCTGCCCAATCCTCTGCTCCGGGGAATGGGTTTCAATTCTCGGTGCCTATTGACTTCGGGAAGACCTACCCTCCTGTTCTACCCACCTTCCAATCTGAAAAGCAGATGACGCCATTCAGGCCGGCTCTCAGGCCTCCTCCCCAGCAGCTGGCGCTGCCGGATATCCAGGAGATGGAGCTGTCTGTATTCATGAGTCGATTGCACATGTCGTGCATCTACCACGGCTGTCTTGCCTTGTGCGACGACAACATCAGCACGGAGCGCATCATGAGACACTTCTGCTTGCCTCTCACCATCGTGGACCGTAAGACCCTAACGGGCCTGTTCTATGCTGCGCTTAACACGAAAGATGGAAAGAAACGCTACGAAGACTGGAAGGACATCCCTTTCTTCAGCCTGGGCGGAGCAGGCACCCATTACCCGTGGACTGCCGCGAAGGCTGGATTGGCGAGTTACCTACATCGGCCTGGTGTTCGATGGGTGGTCTTGCCGGAGCCTCTACTAGAGCTCCCACCGCATCTACAGAAAGTTCTCGCGGGCGATTGGTTCGACATGGGTGACTTGGAGGGCTATCTTCGTGAACAGGGCGTTCGCCTGTTTGCACATGCTCCGCCGGATGTCGGGAAGGATTCCCATCAGCCTGCTCCGGCGGTAAATGCGAAGCGGTTGATCAAAAGTATGTGCTTCGAGAGCTGAATATCGTGTTGAATTATCTGCTAACGCGATCTAGTTTTGTCGGGGTGTGGCATTTGCCTTGGATGGACACCCGGCTTCCGTCGTCGCGATGTGGAAAAGGCTCTCCGAGAGTGTACTGAGGGCTGAGGCATGGACTAGGTGTTACTAAGTTGGAAGTTAAGGCAGGCGGTGGCCTTCGTTTCGAAGAGCAGACTGGTTTCGCGTTCTCCATGCATGTGATGTGACACGGGAGGGAAACTCAGCTCATTTACTGTAACAGGGCCTTCTCCCGGCACGCCTGCCTGAGGTCGGATCTTACCTGCGAAGGTGATCGACTTCTTAGTAAAGACCGCCTTGCAATAACTCATGCGATGTCAGGACTGTGAGGACCGTGTGGTCGTTAAGAACCGTCGACAACAAGTGCATCCTACGTGTCTGGGAAGAATGAGCACTTGTCACAAAGCCACAGTCGGCGACCGACATCACCAAGGAACTTTCTTCCGGTGATCAGGAATCGTCGCGTGGCTCTAAGCTCGACATGGGAATGACATACCGCCGCCACCATGCGTCGCTTGTGTTCGACCTTGAATTCCATCGAACGTCCTCGAATGTTGTTCGCGGCAACTCTACGATGGTGGATGGAATAGGTCGGATTCCACCATTTTAGCGATGGTCTACGAAGTTTCTGACAACCAGTCACACCCTGCGGATCACAGGGTCTTCTATGGAGGCTTTCTCAATTTGTGGCCAACCGTACAAAAGCCCGCAACATGCCCCATTCTTGGTCCGGACATGACCGAATCGATAGACCAGGCATTGACCGAGTCATGCAGGTCGCCAGGGACCTGAATAGCGATTCCGATCCGACAAAGTGTACAATTAGAGCGAGCAAAGTCCCTAGGTCGACCTAGTCTACCCATAGCACGAGCCAGGGGTTCTCTTGGCTGAGCTGTACCTGAAATCGAGCAGTCAAGTCATGACTGTTCCCTGTGTTAGCCACCAAAGTCAACAGTAGCGACTAGCGAGGGCGATACGAGAATCTGAGACTAGCGCGGATCAGGGTTCAATCTGGAAGACTGCCGGAGTAAACTAGCGAGCACGGAGATTTTCAACCCTGCATGTCAGATTTTGGGTCTCTGTCAAGATAGGATGATTATGTGTCATGACACTCATGTGAGATGTGGAAGCAAAAGCCAAGAGAATATGACAGGCGTTGTCAGTATTGCGTGGAAGGAGAAGCAGTCCCCATAGCTAGATGCGTTAGTGGTTTGTCTTTGTCCCGTCAGCACAGTCGGCTGAAAACCTCTGTGGTCGCTAGAAATACTCGTAATCACTCAATGTACTACTACTGATAAGTTACGGCTCTCTGGGCCGAGGGACCCATAGCACCACAGGACCACATGTCCAGGACCGTAATGCCGTCTCCATCGGATTGGCTTGGCTTTTCTCAGCCCATGGGCAGGACACCTGCTTTCTGGGTAGCTCAGGGGGGGAAGCTCGGGACAAAAATAGTAGACTTTGTTCGTGCTGGGGACGGAGATTTGGTTCAGGGAAAGTGGTTTATCAGTGACAAGGAATGATGAAAAGAGTTGAGACTGGAGTAGAAAAATTGAATGACCTTAGGACTTGGAATTAAGGCCCAATTTCATGGGATAGATGAGCATGGGAAATCTACATGAGGTGATCGTCTTCTGGAGGGAGATGGGAGGGGCGGTCAGCCACGCGTCGGCGCGGTTGAGCCACAGCAAAGCGGGAGAATTTCCTTCACCCCCCACCCCACCCCAGCCACAGTTGACGCTTTCTCGAGGCATCAACCAGGCAGCCAGGCAGCCAGGCAGCCAGGCACCACCTGAATCGTGCCGCGGATGCGCGTTTCTGACATTCTTTCTTTCCGCAACAACTCCAGTTACTGGAATGGCATCTCCAGTCGCCTTCCTTTCTTCATCGATGATCCATTCATTCAGTGCAGATGATTGTGCAGATGATTGCGCAGATGATTGCTGAAGGAAAGTTAATTCTCCTACACGGTTCGAGTTCTCTTTGATGCTATTCTTGTCTTTCTTCTCTCCTCCACTTGGTCTCAAAGAAACAACGGCGTCGTCCGTGTTGCTCCACCTTCTCCGTGTCTAGAACTCTGGACTCTGGACGGACTCAACCCCGACGCGGGAATGGAGCATAGGAGCATAGTCTATCTATCTAGTCGACGGTCAACCTGATAATCCCCGCCCGCCATTAAGATTTGGTCCTCGCACGATGCCTTCTGCTTCTGCCTCGGACTGGTGCCCCGGATCGGCAATTCTGCCCGCGGCGCTGCTGGACCGGTCGAGAATGCGAACGTTGCCCCAGCACACCATCGTCTATCTCCCTCCCTCTCCGCAGCGCAGCAACAACAACACTGCTCAATTGCGATCGGTCAAAGATGCAATACAATCAATAGATCAACAATCCTGGTTCATTCTACATATCGACTTGTCCGTTGCATGCAGAACTCGACCAGCTAGCAGCGCAATCACACCCAAGACAGTCTCCTGTTTCATCTTCCCCCTCGGGCAGTCTCGTCGCGTTTCAGGTTTCCACCACCACGTCTCTGCTCTGTTGCTCGATCCACCGACATGCCGAGCCCAAGAATGAAGGAAAACTAAACTCATGCAGCTCCGCTTGCTGATTCGTTCCGTGCCTGGAAAGCCCGCTACCGAGTGCCTAAGTAACGCGGCACGAACCACCCTTTCTCCCCCTCTCCAATGGCCGTGTTCTGTTGACGCTCGGTGAATGGGCCCAGCCGACAATGACTAGCCGTTTCGCTATGGCCGGCGACAACCATGCTGGTCCGCAGCCACTCAACATTGGATCTCTGGCTAGGCAGGGTGTGTGTTATGGTTCTATTTAGGATTTTACTATCCTATTATATTATTGACCGACCTGCCCCCCAGCCGTGAGCCGTGTTTCGCATACTTCCTTTTCTGTTGGTTCGATGTACATTCCCTTCCTTTCTTCTCTCTCCCTTTCCGATTGTTCATAATTCCTATACATTCTTTTGTTTCCTTTCGCTGCAGGTTGATCTCTGCGCCTCGATCTCTCGTTCTCAATCCACGTCATCGGCCTTGAAGGCTGTTGTCCATCATTCCTTACCACCCTTACCGACGCCAATCGTTGCGGGAAAGCCTCTTCCGCGATCTCATCTTCTACCTGTTCCTCAGGGCCTAGTTTCTTTAACATTTGCATCGCCCTCGCTCGCTTGACCTCACTCCAGTGACGATGCCTTCTTCATTCACGCTTCTCAGCTTGAGCTCACTCGCTCTTATCTCGCCTGCCCTTGCCTCCAGCTACAACCTCGTTCAAACCTGGCAAGGCGAAGGTTTCCTCGAATACTTCGACTTCTACACCGGCGCGGACCCCACGAACGGCTTTGTCACCTACACTAACCAAAGCTATGCCGAGAGTTCCGGACTGGTCAAGGTCAACAACAATGGCTCCTTCTACATGGGTGTTGACCACACAACAAAGCTAAGCACCACCGGACCCGGTCGTGAGTCGGTCCGCATCGAGAGCAAGAAGTACTATGACCACGGACTTTTCATTATTGATCTTGCACACATGCCCGGGAGCGTATGCGGTACCTGGCCTGCTTTCTGGTCGACCGGTGCCAATTGGCCAGCCGATGGTGAGATTGATATCATCGAGTCTGTCAACCTGAACACGGCCAGCGAGATTGTCCTTCACACTAGCGGCACCTGCGATGTCTCCGCCCAAAGTGATATGACTGGTACCCTGACCGCCACGCACTGTGGTGAGGATGCTGGAACCACGGGTTGTGTCGTCCAGAGCTCAGAGGGTTCTTCAGGCACCCCCTTTAACGAGCAAGGTGGTGGTGTGTATGCTATGGAGTGGCAGGAGGACTACATCAAGTTCTGGTACTTTGCTCGTGACTCGATTCCCACGTCGATTACTGCTGGCACCCCCGATATCTCTGCCTTCGGCACTCCCATGGGCCACTTGCAGGGCTCTTGCAACTTCGCCGAACACTTCAAGTCCCAGAAGTTCATCTTCGACACTACCTTCTGCGGTGACTGGGCCGGTGGTGTTTTCCTCTCGTCCGGCTGCCCTATCAGCGACAAGACCAGTGCTACCAAGAGCTGTGTTGCCTATGTTGCCGAGAACCCTTCTGCTTTCGAGGAGTCTTTCTGGGAGATCAACTACATCAAGATCTTTCAGACTGGTAACTCGACTGCCTCTGCCTCTGCCTCTGCCTCTGTCGCTGCCAGCAGTGCCACTTCTGTTGCTCAGTCTGTCTCTACCGCCAGCGAGACCGAGTCTGTCGCCTCTGCTACTGCTGCCACGACTTCTGTTGCTAATGCTGCTACCAACGCTGCTGCTACCGCTGCTTCTGCCAGCTCTGCTGTCACCGATGCTGCTGCCACCGCTTCTGTTGCTACTAACGGTGCTGCTACCAATGCTGCCGCCACATCTGCTGCCACCACCGTTGCTCCCGCTGCCGCCGCCGAATCCGCCTCTGCCGATTCCGAATCCACTTCCCAGGTCGCTACTGTCGGTGTTATCTCCGTTGCCGGTGAAAACTCGAGCTCCGTGTCCAAGTCTACTCGTTATGTGACCGTTACTGCTACTGCCACTGTTTGCTCTGCAGAGAGGACTGGTGCTGCTGGTCTTACCGGCGGAAGCGCTTCCTCTGGGTCTAACGCCAGCGGGGCCGGTTCTTCTCCTGCTGCCTCCTCGACCACTGTTAGCGGTGCTAGCGCTCAGGCCAACGGATCTGGGGCTGGCTCTGATTCTGACTCCACTGGCTCGACCGGCTCGACTGGCTCTACTGGCTCTACTGGCTCGACTGGCTCTACTGGCTCTACTGGCTCGACTGGATCTACTGGCTCGACTGGCTCGACTGGCTCGACTGGCTCGACTGGCTCGACTGGCTCGACTGGCTCGACTGGCTCTACTGGCTCGACCGGTTCTACCGGCTCGACCGAATCTACTACCGGCTCCTCTACCGGCGCTTCTGCAACTGAAGAGTCGCGCACTGGTTCTTCCGACAACACCCCTTCCACTGGTGGCTCGTGTACTCAGTCTAGCACCGGCTCATCTCCTTCTACTGTCAGCGGTGCTAGTGCAGAGTCCAACGGTAGCCAGGGTACTTCTACTGGCTACTCTGGCAACACTGGCAGCTCTTCCAACGGCTCCACTGGGTCGACCGGCTCAACTGGTAGCTCTTCTGGAAACACCTCCGCTGGAACTTCCTCCACTGGCAGCTCTTCCGAGTCTAGCACTGGTTCCACCGGGTCTACCGGGTCTTCTGGTCTGACTGGCTCCGGGTCTACTAGCTCCGGTTCTACTGGCTCCTCTGGCAGCTCTACCGAGTCCAGCACTGGTTCTACTGGTTCTACTGGTTCTACTGGCTCCACTGGCTCCGGCTCCATTGGCTCCGGATCAACTGGCTCTACTGGCTCTACTGCTGGCGCAAGTGCTGAGGCAAACGGCAGCTCGGGTAGCTCTGCTGGTTCCACTGCCTCTGGAGCAAGTGCCGAAGCCAACGGCAGCTCAAGCAGCTCTGTTTCTGGTTCCGGCTCGGCCTCCGCCCCAAGCGGTGCCAGTGCTGAAGCCAATGGCAGCTCTGGTGTCTCCGCATCTGCGGCTGCATCTGCCAATGGCTCTACTGTGAGCGGTGCCAGCGCTGAAGCCAACGGCCAGGGTAGCTCTGCTTCCTCCAGTGGAAGCCACGGATCCGGCTCTTCTGGCGTTATCCTGTCCGGTGCTGATGCCGTCGGCTTCGGCGCCTCCAGCTCTGCCGTGCCTTCGTTCTCCGTCGCTCCCTCGTCTAGCAGACTTGCCGCCCCTGGCGTTCCCACGAGTGCTCCTACCTTGTCTAGCAGCACCTCTGGAACCTCCAGCTCGGGCTCCAGCTCGGGATCTGGCTCCAGCTCCAGCTCGGGCTCCTCGTCTGCCACTACTCCTGCCGCCGCCCTCTTCACCGGTGGTGCTAGCAAGATGTCCCTCGGTGCGTCCGGCATCGTTGGCGCTCTCGCCATGATCTTGCTGGTTTAGAGCCACTGACATAATTGTTTAAATGTTTTTTGTTGCCATATATCCCATGGAAGTTCTCTTCCCTTCATCGTGGAATCATGTATTATAACTTTGTCCACTTGTTGGTGCTGGCATGTTGATGGCTGTTGCTACAATACTGCTGGCTTCAACTTTGTTATTTGTCCGATCTAGATAGATTAAATAGTTGAATCAATTGAGTCCGAAAGATTGTTTAGAATAGTTCAGAAGTGATAGTGTAGACAATGAGGTTCACAGAAACGCAGGATAGCCACAAGGCAAACCATCAGTTGAACCAAAGCACGGAAGTATTAGCTGTCGTATCAGGAACCTGTCAGGAAAATCAATGACCAGCTTGTTTCATCAGCAGTCCGATTCCGCATAACCACAATGCCATTTCGAAGGAAGTATCGACCGAGAGCAGCCTCGACACGAGAGCCAGGGGCCAATGCAGTGCTTGTCCACACCGTATCCCTGACTCTCTCCTCTCCAACCCATCCGGAAGCAAAACAAACCGAGAAGGCGCCATTCAAAACAATAGCCACTGTAACCAGTCCATTCCAGTCCCATCCAGTTCAGTCTTCGACCCAGCCTCCACATCCCTCGGTGCTTCTCTCGGCGCGAAGATAGTCCCCCCATCCGGCTTCAAGTGCCGTGAAACCGACCTTCCCAGTCCGTGACCCCATGACCGCGTCGCCGCCGCCGCCGCCACCCCCTTGCGGTAAACCAATATGACAGCTCCAACTGACAACCTTTTCCTCCATCGGTTCGGGGCTCAAACTCCAATAAAGCATGATAATACGATGTTGGTTGTTAGTTGTGCAGAGGAAAAGTCAGAGGACGGAAAGGCAAGCTACGCTGGCCGTGGATTTAGTTCATATGCAATTGTCGGGGTGGGGTTGCGTGGCCGTCGTGGAGTGCTTGTTCTACGATGGGGGGGGGGGGGGGGGGGGTGCCGTGGCGACGAGGAGCAGGCTGTGTGGTTGGTGCGTGCGTGGCGGATGAAAGATCCCGAGACCGATACCGATCGTGACCGCTGCGGCGGCACTAGGGTGAGGTGTTTAGTCTATTTGGAGGGGGTTACGTTGCAAGGTGGTGGTGGTTATGCAAGGGGCGGAGAGTGTATGGGTTGGAGGTCTGGGGTTTGGAGCCGAGTGGGAATTGAGTAACGCTCGGTTACCTTTTGCTTCGGTGCGTTGCGGTCGAGGGATAGTCGGAGGAGGGTGGTAGGAAGTCAATTGAGGCTGCGCTGCTGCTGTTGTAACACCCCAGGCTCAGTAAGGAGGTTTCCTAGGATTGAAGGCAACTTCGTGTTCGCCGGAGACGCTGGATATTGTGCTGGAATTTTGTGTTTGGGTGGTGGATGAGGGGGGCAGCAGTGGTGGAAACAAAGTTTCTAATTTGGTTTATTGGACCTGTCAAAAAACCCTAACCCACGCAACACCAGAATGTCAACCTAACGCCGACCCTCCTTCATACCTGTACCATCCCCATCCCCATCTACCGGTATCTATCTCTCTATCAACTTCCCTACCCGGATAAGTTATGTACCGTAACGATATGACCCAGAGACGCACAGACACCACCCTATTCACAGTTGAAACACCGACCACTGCCTTTGCCTCTAGAGCACCCCCCCTCCTCCCCACACATACCCAAACCATAGCCCACCGTAGAGAATAAGATTACCGCCTTGGCTGGATAACAGCCTCGATCACCGACTCCATCCCGGGATTCGTATTCCAAATCCCCGTCACCTCCAGCCCGGCCTTCCCCAACAGATCCCGCCACTGGCGCTCCGAGCGCTCCACGCCCGCCCCGATGCTCATCATCTGGATATCCAGCGAGGCCTGCAGCAGCGGCACGTCCGTGTCGGGCAGGACCATGTCAACAATCAGCACCCGCGAGTGCGCGGGGTCCATGGCGGCGACGGTGTTCTGCAGGATGCGGAGGCAGGTGGCGTCGGGCCAGTCGTGGAAGATGGCGCGGAAGTAGTAGGTTCGTGCGGCTGGCACCGTTAGCATAAGCTTGGCCGGTGACCGCGGTGCTCACCGAGTTTTAAGCCCGGGGGGTTAAGGTTGGATGTCGCAAGGGGTGGGTGAACTCCATACACCACCACCACCACCACCACCACAGCCCACAAGCAAAGCTCCACCGAGAGAGAGAGGGGGGAGGGGAAGGGGAAAGTACCTTTAACAACCTGCTCCTCCAAAAAGCTAACCCCCATCGCCTCGATCCCGCTCCCGATATCCCATTTCACCACCTTCGGGAGATCCTGCAGCACCCGCCGCCCGGGGAGAGCGGCGTACCGGGCCTGAAACGCCAGCAAATCGTGCCCTTGGTTCCCGCCGACGTCCACAATCAACACCGCCTCCGGGTCATCCTCGAGTGCCGGCAACGTGGGATCGGTCAGCCGCGCCACCGGATACAGCTCGAACCACTCGGGCTTCCCCGCGCGCCGACTCGCCATGTACGAGTTGAACCGCTGCTGGCGCGGCTGGTGGGCCGCCAGCCACTCGAACTGGCTGGCGCCGACGGCCCATTTCATGGGCGCGTGCGCGTATTCCTTGGGGGTGGTGTAGGCGTGCGTGGCGAAGTAGGTCGGGAGGGTGGAGAGGGTTGGTAGTGTTAGGTCGTAGCTTTGGGGGGGGGGTGTTAGTATTTTTCTTGGTTTGTGAGGTAGGGTTTAGGCAGTTGGGGAGATGTTGCTACTGCTGCTACTGCTGCTGCTGCTGCTGCTGCTGCATAGTTCCTAAGGTAAAGGGTACTAGGTAAACGTACATGCATGGCACCCCGTCCCGACCAATGGGCGCGATCAGTGCGGCGGTCTTCTCGTTGGCGGCGTAGTGCTCCGCCGTCGGGGTCGTGCATAGCCCTAACGAGGCCATCACGCGCATGAGTCGGACTGTGCACACCGTCAAGCATCAGTAAGGGCATGTGGATTATTGTCTGGAGAATTGGGGTTTAGGTTTGAGGTCAAGTACCGATCAACGCCCGCTCTGCGCCGGTCTTCTCGGCCAGCGCGGTCGCCGACAGCCCGGCTGGGCGGTGGTCCATGAGCAGTGGAAATAGGTTCATGTCCATCACGGTGCGGAGGGCGGCGTTCTGCGGGGGCTTTTTTTGGGGTCGTTAGTGACGAACGGGGATTGTTGCTGCCAGGTGTCAAGGGCTCTCACTTGGTAGATTAACCGCAGCAGCGTCTCGGTCGGGCTCTCAATGGCGAGGCGCAGCTGGTCCACCAGCCCCAGCAGCTGGAAGTGGGATTTGGCCGTCCGGTCGGGGCTCTCTTCCTGCAATACGGCTT